TTCCATGTATCGACGAGATCCGATCGACACACATCCTGGGATCCGGAATATCCGATCTCCAGCCAGCCACATCGCGATCCGTTCATTCCGATGCAAGACGAGGTCTTTGTCGCTGATGTTGGTAAACTGGAGATATCGGATCCTACCGGGTCCTCGGACCACGGACGGCACCCAGCGATCTCCACGGGTGACCCACAGCTTTTCTCGATCCGTCACCTTCATTCGTAGCGGAAGCTCGATCGAATCCCCGATCGTGATCTGCATTCCCTGATCCACACACACGTGTCGGACATTGTCGTTGTACAGCTGACGCCGTCCGCTAAGCTGGATCTTGACTTCGTCGGGGAGACAGATAGATCCGTCCGCAAGTTCGAGGCGGATCCCCGCCGGAACCATGAAGTCCATACCCAGGATCGCCTCTTGTCCTGATAGATCGCCAACCCAGATATCGAAGAAATACAGCAGCGATCCCGCCAGCGTAACCTTGATCCTGGTCCTTCCTTCCGTCATGTACACGCTTTCGCCAATCCCCACACATTCCTGGCTCTGACTCGTGTCGACATATCACCCCACCTTACGAGCAAAGGCGGTGTCCACGATGGACACCTCGGCGCCGGTGTCTAAGAGTAAGATCGACTTCTCATTGTTGATCTTGCCAGTGATCTTGGCCTGACGGAACCACTTACCTGGCGAATGATGTTTCCAGTACCCTCTGGACTCCCCAGGGAGGAGATCGGGCACCTCATCGCCAGATCTGCGGTGTTCGCTGACGCGAGGCAGACTTCGATCGCGATCATGCTCCGGGATCTCGGTCGTCACTTCTCCATCAGCTGGCTTGAACCATTCTTCCGGCCTACGTTGCTCCAATAGCCCCGCGTTTCTCCAGACTGGAGATCCAAGGGTCAGAACGGCTGAAGTCGTCCGATCGATGTAGACTTAAGATCTTGGCGGTAGATTTTGCATGCAGATCACATGTATTACCGCGTAGATCAGTCCGTCCACTTACTCGATCTACCGTGTTCTTGTTCACGAATGCATAGATGCAGTACCTAGAACGCTCGGTTCGTACCAGATTCCAACCCGGCGAGCGTCCTAATTTAACATCTTCGCCGCGATCGCGGGCAACATGCCAGCGTGCTTCACCGGGTTGAACCATTGACGGATCTGGTTGTAGAATTCCTCCATCGGACACTTGCCCATCTCGTGTAGTTCACCACATCCACGGCACATAAACAGGCAGCGATCCGCCGGATGACCTCGCTTGCCACACTTCTCGCACGGCAAACGTCTCCAGCAATCGAGATCGGTGTGTTTCCGCGATCCACAGTGTGAGCAGCGGTTTGATCACTCCGATCCGTCAGGTGAAGATCGCAATCGTGGATCCGATCGAGGTGAGTCATGGCTGATCTGCGCTTGGTTGCTTCGATCCGGCTTCGTCGAGTCGCTCCCAGCGTTGCGAGACTTGTCATCGGCCGACGCTAGGCAAACGCGACGTAGATCACGCTCCGAGCCCGATCCTTCCGATCTTGTGTCTGATCCAGACTCCTGGCTCGCGATCTGAACTGCACGCACTGCCCGCTTGGTTGCAACAGCTGGTGCTGAGGTCGGAACTTTCTGACGATACTTCGATCCAAAGGCGGATCGCTTCTGTCTGCTCTTCGCGCGCTCTCGAGCGCGCAGGACTTCCTCCAGATCTTCCGCGTCCGCAAGCCGGAGTAGGGTGAGCTGATCGGCCAGTTCCGGATCGCCCAGCGTCTCGATAAAGTGTTCGACATGTTCTCGGCGGGCCTTGGAATCTCCGTCCTTGATCTTCAATCTCGCACGCAGAGCCGCCACATTCAGTCGATAGAGATACTCCAACGGCGATTCATCTGATCTCTTGCGAGAATGGTAATACTGCCAAGCGAACGATACTTCCAGGCCACAAAACTGGATCTGGAAACTCCGGAGTAGATCACTCCACTTGTTCCGCGTCGATCGGCCCAGCTGGCGGTACTAGTTCTTCGCCGGGCCCGTCAGTAGATCAGCAAAGGTCAGGCACTTCTCTTCATCCGTAGCCTGATCTCACAGGAACGCCGACTTTACCTTGCTGATCCACGATCGGGCGCGGTCTTCGTCCTGATCCTTGCCACTGAACTCCTTAAGATCGGACATCACCGAAATCCGCACACGCTGGATCAATGAGGACCCAGTGGATCCTGAGACAGCGGTGGCCACCGCAGCAGGGGCCGAACTCGGTAGATCAATGTCGTCCGGATCGTATTCCCACTGAGAGATCTTGATCCGGCGATCCGGCTGATTCCATCTCCACGTCCCGCGATCCAACGTTGTCGTCGACCACTGGAGTAGGTGTTACAACCGTGGCCTGTTGTTCCTTCAGAAATCGAGCCATCGCAGCCTGAAAGTAAGACTCCAGTTTGCCATTCGACTCATCTGATCCGGTAGCACTGGTGGTCCGATCGGTCGACATGGGTTTCTGCTTCCGAGGTCCTGATCGCATGCGTTCTTGACGTTGACCCCGTGATCGTGCGTCCAACATCGCAGATCCTGAAGGGCCGAGGGACATCCGTTGAGGTTTAGACGACGTATCCGATACGTGTTCCGCTGCGGAGACATAAGGAGACGACGATCGGTACCCCGTGGACTCCATCCGCGGCGACGACACGGGAGCTGGCGACACTAGATCTGGCACCTTCGGGTCCGGACTGTCCGCGATCACGTCGACCAAAGGTCTCAAACTTGTCGACCAATGTCTGGATCGCTGTCTGGATCACATCAAGATCCTGATCGAAAAGATCATTCGCTTCAAAGGCGTCAGCCACGAAGCCGGCTTCCTTCAACAGTCCAAGCAGGTTCTTCACCACCAGCTTGTTGTCCGTCCCTGGGGGGGCCGAGATCGGGCCCTTCGGGTCGTCGATCTACTCTGGCCGCAAGATCACCATGACGGGATCTTGACGCAAGAAGTCTCGCAGTTCCTTCAAGTGATACTGACGATCCAGGTCAGCCTCGGACCAGTCGAGCGCCGACGGTCTGGGATCTTCGTCGTCCAGGCCTGGTGCTCTCAGCTTCTTCCTCACGATCTGGTCCTTGTCCGCGATCGCGTCCAGGTAGTCCGGATCGAGCCTGATCGGCGAGTCGGCGAACGCGTATCGGTCCGATCCCGCCTTAGTTTGTTTTGTTAGTGAATCTCGGTTCGCACCAAGATCCACCGGGGTCCCCGAAGGGACCTGGAGAGGGTGTTGAGATTTGTCTTCTAGATCTGTCTCCAGATCGCCCTCGATTCCGTCGACAGAAGTCCTCCGAGCACTCTGTCGATCCGCGGATCTCGTTTTGTTCAGCAGCGTCTTCGTCGATCCGATATCCGACGACGCCTCTTCCCCTGGTTCTTTCTTCACTTGCGCATCTTCTACGGACTCACGGTGAAATCCGGAGTCCCCAAGCGATCCGGGCACGCGCACTATTGTGGTGTAGCGGGATCGGCCAAAATCTGGTTAAGGCCTGATCGAGCTTCCCACCAGCGCCCAGACACCGACTAACGGAGGGGGTCCCCCAACGATCCGTGATCGGCTGAACTTGTTCTCACCTTGTGTACCCGTCGGTGGGCTGGATCTGCTCTCTCGGGGCTCCGAAGATGCAGCACTTGGTGAAGATCGAGTGTCTTGGCGTGATGCGGGGATAGTTTGTGGAGCAGCGCGGTAGTCTTCGCTCTGCGTCCGAGTATACGCTCCGATCGAGGGTTGTTCGCTGCGATCGGTCGGCCTGGAGTTGATCCAAGGCCTGTGGTTGCCTTTCCGGGTGTGTTCCTTCCTTTCTTGAGTTGCTTGCCGCTTCCTATAGCGGGATCTAGGTTGATCGAGAGGAGAAACGATCGCCGGCCAAGCACTAATACCCGGTCGATCGAGGACTTGCATACAAGAGATAGATCACTAGAGTAGGTCAAGCTGGCCAATGTATTAATCCAGTCTTAACCGTACCGCTAGTTCACTACCCAAAGTGTCGACGCTGCCGAGGCCAATGTAGTTCCTGGGACTTGGTGACTTGATGGGACTTGTGGTCTTCGGCGCAAATTCTGCTCGAGAGCGACTTGCCGGGGCTTGGTGGTCTTGGATCACGCGTGGGGTCAAATCTGTTCTCCACAACGCAGGTCGACCGAGGCCAATATGCTCTTCCTCCTCGAGATTCCAGACCACTTGCGCTCCACGGTGCAAATTCGACTCTGATTTATGTTTAGCTGGTCTGTTCCTAATGCTACCATTTTGCTTACCCTCCTACAACCACACGATTACTGGATTCTTGTCCCGACTTCGTCCTCCATGTGCGTCCCATCCTGGTCGATCCACGATCGGCCCCGATCGGCGACCCCAATCGGCGACCCACGATCGGCGATCCCCGATCGGCTCCTGATCCACGATCGACCCCGATCGGCGATCCACGATCGACGATCGGCGATCAACTCCCGATCGATGACTTTTGCCGGTTGCCATGCGCCGCCGATCCATCACCTTCTGTCCTCGGCCATCCCAGATCCGCGAGTTCTGTCGTCGATCTGGACTTGGGTCGGCTCTGAATCACGCCGCGGTTCGAGCACGATCACCCACAATCCGGCTTGCCACATGTCCTACCTCACGCGCCGGCGTCATCGGACCACCTGAGATCTCCCGAAGAACTCCTTCTGATCCGTAGATCCTTGCGGCCTGTCTCTCGATCGCCGATCTCCCACGCCTCCAGTCGATCGGCCCTGCCGCCTTTCTCGGAGAACAATTCTTATTCAGCACTTCTCCACACAATGGTTGAGGGCTGGTCGGCCTGAGGGCTGCGCCGACCGCGCGTTCATTTCAGCCGCTCGGAATGGGCATTTGAAAGTGTTACAGTGGTTGCTGTTGCGCTATCCGGAGCTATACATACCGGGGGTACTCGATCACGCAGCCGGGGCTGGGCACCTCCATATTGTGCAGTGGTTAAGCCCACAAAGCGCCGCCTCCAACAACGCAATCAACTGGTCGGCTGCTTCTGGGCACCTCGATGTTGTCGTCTGGCTCCACGAAAACCGGGCGGAAGGTTGCACGGCAGATGCGATGGATTGCGCCGCGGCGCACGGGCACCTTGACGTCGTTCGTTGGCTACATCAGAACCGACCGGAGGGCTGCTCCACCTTGGCAATGGATAACGCGGCGGCAACGGGAAACTATGAAGTTCTTGTCTGGCTTCACGAAAACCGGATGGAGGGCGCTACAACAGGCGCTATGGACCGCGCTACCGCTGGCGGCTTTCTCCGCGTTGATCGCTGGTTGCATACCACTCGCTCAGAAGGATGTACCGTTGCAGCTATGGACGGAGCAGCCGCAAACAACCATCTGCGACTTGTCCAATCGCTTCACCATATCCGTGTTGAGGGGTGTACGCCATCTGCCATGGACACGGCGGCAATGGCTGCTGCTACTCCTACGCTGCAATTTCTTCGTCGCGGTCGCACAGAGGGTTGTACCCGGTCGGGTTTCCGTTGGTCGGTTGCTAGCGGCAACCTGCACATCGCGCGATGGCTCGCGCTGTACTATCCCCTTTCTTTTGATGCTGGCGCGGTCGCTTCGGCCGCCGCCGAATATGGTTGGACTTCTGAGATCATCCGCGTGGCTTTTGCGATCGACTTGGTCACACCATAGGTAAAAACAGTAGGCGCAGGGTGAAACCTGACTACTCGCATTCCGCATCACACAACTCGCTACCATTTCCTATCAAACACCCCAAGTCTGGCGACTTGTCCGAACCGACCCTCGACGACTTGTACAGGCAGATATCGTTTCGCGCTCAACGCCGAAAGTCTTCGCCGCCTGCAAATTCCCCTCGTCCACCGGCCATGCCGCCAAAACCATGCGTTCTGGCGCTGGTCCTGCAAAGTATGTGGCTATTTCGAGTTCCGGGCAGATCCCAGTTAAGAAGGCAGCGGGGCAATCTCGTAACAAAACTGAAGTTCTTGCTGCCGCTACTCAACAAGTCGGCTCGCCTCCGCGTGCAGCTGGCGCGACGTGTGAGGGCTCCACTCCTCCAGCTTCGCGTCTCGCAAATGGGCTGGCGGTGGACCATTCCAAAGATGTCAACACGCCTAACAAGCCTCACAATACCGAATCTGAGACTCAACCGCCTACCGCTGAATCGTTTAAACGCGTGGCGTCGGTCAGCCCTGCCAAAGATGCCAACGCGCCTGTCCAACCTCGCGAGGGCGAAACTGAACCTGGCGGTACTAATATCCCCGAATGTGCCGACACCAACGGCGCTCGGGGGGGGGGGGGGGGGTCGCCCCTCTATCTGGACACCCGGCCGATGGCAGGGGAAACCACTCGCCGGCTACGGGTGATTTGCACTGCGATCACGGCCCGGCTACTTCCAACACCGAACTTCCCGTGCCATTGTATGCGGTGTGAGAATTGACTCCGCAACTCTCCTCGAGCTGGGCTTTCGTTTGCCGAGTGCTGTCCCGGAGTCCAATCCGCGAATACACGAATTTGCGAGGTGGGGGTCGCCTAATTGAGATATATGTCGGAGATGCAGCAGGTGACACTATCCGGATCACCCTCTTCAACGAAGCCGTCACCGCGTTTTACGACGTTGTCTCGCCGGGGAGCACCTGCTACTTTTCTGCGGGTCGGATCAAGCTTGCTGCGTTTGCCCCGGCCGGATCAACTTATGAGGTGACTTTTGGTGCTGGCGCCGAAATACGCAGCGTTCGACTCGACGAAGAAATTGCTGCCGAGCCTTCGTACCAATGTACACCGCTCGCGCAACTGCTCGATCGGGCCTCCGGTACCTTGGTTACGGTTGCTGGTGTAATCCATGCTGTTGGGAATCTGAAGAGCTTGACAACGGCGAAAGGGAAGCGATTGGAAAAACGAGAGTTTGCGCCGGTGGATGCTACTACAACGAAAGTGTTTTGCACGCTCTGGGGACAGCTCGCCCGAGAATGCGAACCCGACTACCAAGGTCGCGCGATCCTAATTATAGGCGCTCAAGTCTCGGATTACAACGGGTCCCGCTCACTGAATGTCGCGTTTCGTACCACCGTACTGTTTGGCCCCGCCCTGACGATGTCTGCCGAGCTCGTTATCTGGTACGGGGCGCTCCCGCAAAACCAAAAGTTCTCAGAACTTCGCGCATAGCTTAAAGTCCATGCGATGCAAACGCGCAACCCCGTCGAAGCCTCCATTCCTCATGCGCTGCTCATCTTTATAGGTATCATCTTGGTAGCCTAACGTGGTAGTAATGCACTCCTTTTTCTCGTCCTCGCCTCCTCCATGTTGCCTTATCGGCCGACCCTTGGCGGAATCAGAGGTTCCGTTCCAATACTTATCTGACGTGTTCTAAGAATTATGTTAACTGCCTTCCATGGTGGACTTCATACTGTGTCATTCCTCTTGATTCGCCTACAAGCGCGCTCTGCGGCAGGTGTTACTGATACCGAAAAAAATGCCGACTCTTACCGCTCACTATTTGGCAACATACTGTAGTCGAGCCAAACGATATGTTTTTCAGATGTGTTTTCTTACATAAATTACGTAAGTAATTCCGAACCTATTTGATTAGATATTCATGGCCGCACTGATCTTTACTAAATACTAGAGGCTCATGTATTAAGGAATGCGTACCATAAATTTGCTACCAGACGCTTTGGTGCCAGAATGCTAAAGTGAAATATTTTATCTGCTGGAGGACATGAATTTGAAATTGAATCTAGCGGCTGTGTCCTCTGGCTACGCCCGGTTGCTCACACGCGTGCCTCTCATGCTGCTTCGCTTTTCTTTTCTTTTCTTTTCTTTTCTTTTCTTGACTTGCACTTGTCCTCAGCGCTGGACTTGGTGGACCCCTCGGACGGCGCCTTGTTGTCCTTCTCCACCGGCTTGGAGACAACGTCCAGCGTCCGCGATCGCGATCGGACTCGCAGCACCAGTCGTGCAAGCGCTAAACCGGAAGATGCCAAACCCACGCGTCTAGTGGCCGCTACACGTAGCACCCACTACATCTGACCGGACGGTGAAATCGGCAGACATCCATTGATTTACAATTCCTAGTATTAACCCATTTTAAAATCTTCCGCTTTTCGCGAGACCTAATGGCGACGAACCGTTTGACTTGCGATGCATTACGGCCATTTAGGGTGGTTCCGGGTCATCAAGTGGTACTGCTACTGCATCTAGTCGGGACGGCATATGCATGCCAACGAAAATGCGCCGGTGTTTGTGAGGGGCTCACGTTCAACCCCCCCCCCCCCCAGGTTAGCATTCTCTGTAGCACTTGATGCAGTTGCACCTGTCGATCATGTACCACGGTCCATAACTGAAAGTTTCTTCTCCTCTCCGAACGTTTCGCTGAGCCACGATACCGACCCTGTAAAAGCCTTCAACTGTCCACTCTTCCGCCCGACAGTTCGGCTCACAGCTATGATTGCAAAAGCGGGCCACATTGCCAAAATGCTCTGCGTCGATGAACTTATCCGCCCCATAAGCCATTACATACTTGAGTGTGCCTTCAGCAGCCCTCCGTCGCATTTCGACCCGGCTGATGACCTCTCCCAAATACTCGCACACAACGCCTCCGCTCGCTATGTTCTCCATGGAATACACTCCATTGCCAACTCGGTTCGTTTCACGAACCTCCAGCCGAGCCGGGCACGACTCGAACATCGCCCAGGCCCGGTTGCTGCCCGACCCGCCCAGCTTGCACCTCTCGCCACTACACTCTACTCGGCGCCTCCTGTTGATGCACCGCTCATCCCAGTCTGACCTGCACGAGCACTCCCCCGCTTGGAACGTCGCTTCTGCATACGTCACCCACGTACCAAGCAACTTCGGTGTACTCCGCCGCTGGCGCAGGCGGCGCCTCCACGCCTACGGCGAAAAATTCGTCCAGCGTCGTTTGCACTATCTTTCTCGGGCCTGCCATCCTGCCTTGTATTCCAAGTCAGTTCTATTCAGAGAACTCATCAGTTCTTGTCAAAGAACTCTCCTGGAATGTAGGCATCATCTCCTTTACCAGGGCACTACCAGCCCAAACCTCTCGTACTGTAACATTTCTTCTCTCAAGATCAACTCACTTTTCTATATTGAAAATTTTAAATTGGTATGATAATCTTGTAAGTTGAATTGCTGAAGGTAGGTAGGTACCTTGGCTAGTTATTAAGTTGAAATTGTGAAGGTACCTACCTTGTTGAGTTAGTGTATTGACTTTATGAAGGTACCTACCTTGATGAGTTAGTGTATTGACTTTATGAAGATACCTACCTTGGCACTTGACCTGTTCTTGTAGGGGAGTTAAAAGCGATTTGGTCAACTTTGTATCGCTTGAAATTCAGAGCATGTGGAGCTTCTACAAGATTTCTCCCTATCGTCACATTTCGTAAAACCTGACCGGATTTTATGGATAAATATCGTGACGGTGCCGACACATATGATTTTATACTTAGCCACTGTATGGTGACCATGGTTCAATCAAATGGCGATGACCGATTATTATCGAATGAGAAGGGCGATAGATGGTATTTTATCCAATCATCAACGTTATGGGTAGGTGTATGAGCCGCCGACACTCCTGGGGACGTATAATGTAGGCAGGGCTGTCGAGATATGTTATCCACGTATAGTGAAGTTAAGTAATAAGGTGATCATACACATATTTTGCACGGTGCCGACACTTTACTTTGACTTTGTATTGCTTCTGTTTGCCTGTTCGAAGCGTTTTGTGTGGCGCTTTCACTTGCTCTACAAATTCAACCGAGTTTCTCGGCAACGCTATTCCCGAAGCAGCATTGTGTCATGTAGAAAGCTGCTTTGGGTGAGGCATTGTTGGTGACACTATGGTCACTGCCACTAAGGTACCGCCGTCAATACATGTACGTGACTCCGCAGCAGTTGAGAGTTTAAAGTGGTACAAGAATTAGAAATATTCACTGTTATATACATACTATTCGTGCAATATACTACAGGACTAAGCAACGCCGCGCCTGTAGAAAGCGCCATCCCACCATGCAGCGGCGGCGGCACCAGTCGCGCCACCAGTAGCAGCAGTACCCCTTCCTGGAGGAGTCCCCCCCAAGCTCGACATCAGCGAGCGTGCCCTCCGCCGCACCCGGCGATCGACAACTCGCAGTCGCCGCGCTGCTGCTTCGGGTGCTGCTGGTTGTAATGGCGGTACTGGGACGAGGGCGGCTACTGCTGCGGGGGCGTGGTCCTGGGTTGGCTCTGCAGCTCAGCGTGCTGCTGCTGCTGCCTGCAGCGTGACGAGTGGGTGGCCGCCAGGCGCATGCTTCCTATCGGGCGTCCTCCCTCCTCGTCTTCCTTCTCCTCCTCCTCCCACTCCTCGCTGTTGCCCTCCGCCGACCTCCACGCACTTGGTGTCTCTATCTTCCGCCGTGCCCTTGGTGGTCGCAGGCTTCGGGGCCTTTCGGCTTGTAGGCAAGCGCCATGACGCGCGCCATCCGCGCGGGTGCGAGCACTGGCCCGACGCGTCCGTGGCCGGGTACGAGCACCGCGCGTCCGTGTGTGAGATGGCCGTGCACGTGCCAGCGGGGGAGGACTGTTGTCCTTCGTGCCCTTGGTCATCTCGCCGTCCTTCGTGCGAACTCGATCAGGGGCGCCGCCACCACGCCAGAGAAATGAAAATGCAGGAAGTGTTAAGATGACCATTTAGACTAATCGTGGAAATTCAGTATTTTAACCAATGCTCGATAGTGTCGGCAGGTGTCGGCCGCTGTCGGCACCGTCATGGTATGGTGTTATATACTACTGATTGCGATGAGATTCGAACCGAAGAAACCACGAGGGCGTGGCTGCATCGGACCGCAGAGTAGTGAGTAGTTAGGTTAGAGCAACACGACAGGAGTATAGCTGCACGCTCTGGTGTTGTTTATGATGCGTCGTGGGGTCCCGGTGGTAGTTGGAATTAATCACCGTGGGCAGCTTGGAGACGCTTGTCCGCAAGGGATACCGGCCGCAGGTGTGACGTGACGGCGAACGCAATGACCATTGAAGTTGCACCGTCGGAGCTGGTAGCGCGCTGGGACTTTGCGTTAGACGCTTGCAATGATGTCGGAGACTGCTCGCTGCTCGTCTGCTCCTGGCCGGCGCCGCAACCGGCGCAACCCCGCAACGAGTGCCCTCTATCTGGCCCCTACTCGACGACCTGCTTCTCTCGCGTCGACCTATAAGGAGGGCTGGCTGGCTAGCTGGATAGTGCGGCAGTGATACTCGTTTCGTTTCAAGGTGAGGTTTGTCGGTTGTTGCGCATTGCCACGGGCACAGTAGGAAGGTTGGAACGCTGGATGGCGGGGCCTAAGGCTCCGGGATCTTGGTTGCTGGAGCTTGGAGAGGAGAAGGAGATTTAGAAGTGGATGGTTCTCTTCTCAGTGCCAAGCCCAGCGAACACATTGATCCTACATGCATTGTATAAATACACTAGCTACTTCAGCTCCTTATTCTACTAGGATCCTTGCAGCGGACACGAGCATAAGACACAGAGGTCCTCCGACACTCCCCCTTGCTCGCGTCACGCTGATTCTGCGAGCAATACTGTGGCTCTGCAAATTCGTCACAAGCTACGAACATCGTAGCAGCTGTGAGCACGAACATCGCGCTGCAAACATCGGAGCGCACGAACATCGGCGCCAGCACAATATCAACCACGTAACATCGCGGTGAGCTAATGCCTGCTCTTGCACGTTGCAGCCGCTTTTGGTGAACCATCACCTGCCTCACGACTCAAACGAATCCGCATCCAGGCAACAAAGGCAGTATCCGACTGCTTCATTTCAGCTGCAGCTCCCCCTTGCTCGTTGCGGCGAACGACGCCAAGCAGAGAGCGGAAGAATTCAAACTTGACACGTGCGAGCGGCTTCGTCAATATATCGGCAGTCATTTGGTCGGTTCTGCAGTGCTGCACTTCAAGTAGCTCTCGATCCTCGAGATTTCGCACGTAGTGAAAACGATTCTCTATGTGTTTGCTGCCGTTGTGCTTTCCTGGCTTCTTGGACAGCGCAATCGCAGCCGTGTTGTCGCACCAGAGCTTCGGGTTGTCATACCGCCACCTCAGCTCGTCACACAGACCAGGAAGCCACATGATATCGCGCGCGCCTTCATTCATGGTGATGTACTCAACCCCATCGTGCTCTGGGCATTGAGCCCTTGCTTCCGTGACCCGTAGGAGACTACGCTGCCATTCACCATCGTGACATACCCACTCACGGACTGGCGGTCTTCCTTATCGTTGGCATAGTCAGCATCGCTATAAGCTTCCACGCGCAACAAATCTACATGGGTTGAACCAGTCACCACCATACTGAGACCAAAATGCTTGGTGGCCTGCAGATACCTGAGTACCCGTTTAGCTTGCGCGTAGTGGACAGCACCGAAGCACGCCATATACTGCCCAAGCCGACGAACAACGTGTGCAATATCGGGCCTTGACCCCGACACGAGATACTGGAAGGCTCCGACAATCTCGCGATACGGCAGATCACTCGGCTCAGGCGCCGCGGGGCCTTCACTAGCAGTTTCCATCGTGGTTGCCTCGGGCGTTGCAGCACCATGACAGTCGTGCATATGGAATCGTCGCAGGATTTCTTCAACGTAGTTTGTCTGACTGAAGAGACAGTGTTCTTCTCACGATCAATGCTGACTTCCACCCCAAGCAGGTACTTGACGGGACCGAGCTCCACGAGCTCAAATGTTGGAGCCAGCTTCCGAGCAATAGCTTCACACCGACTGCTCTCGCCCATTAGCAGCAGGTCATCCACATAGACAGTTAGGAGCATGACAATCTCCCCCTTCTCGAGGAGGGAGTAAAGGCCATGATCACTCTCCAGACGCGTGAACCCGAGTGCAACTAGGTGTCGGTGCAGCGTCTTGTTCCAGACGTGGGGAGCCTGTTTGAGTCCATACAGGGACTTAATCAGCTTACAAATCTCCCTATTTCCAGGCGATCCATTGCCTTGAGGCAGTTCCATGAAGACTTCTTCAGTGAGCTTGCCGTGCAAGAAGGCTGTTTTGACGTCGTACTGGAAAATCGACCACCGGCGCTGGACAGCGAAATAAATCGCGACGCGAATCGTGTCGAACCTAATGACTGGTGCAAACGTATCGTTGTAGTTTTCGCCGAACTTCTGCTTGAACCCATGTACGACGAGCCGAGCCTTAGAGCGCTTGACGAAGCCGTTCTCGTCCTACTTGATTCCAAAGACCCACTTGTTCGTGATCACAGCAGATTTTCCAGCAGCACTTCTATCTACAACCTGCCACACACCATGCTTGCGCAGCGACTCGAGTTCTTCAGCAATAGCGGCCAACCAGTACGCAGCAAACTTCGACCGAATTGCCTGCTTATACGTCGCTGGCACAGGTACATCTCTTGAATGCAGTCGAGACTGGGTTGGCGAGATAAATTCACACTGCAAAACTTTAACCAGCTTGTGCGCAACATAGTGGAGCTCAAAATTATTGAGTCTCGAGTTCCTCTTACGCTTTCTACCAAAACTCGAAACTCGGTGTCGCGCCAAAGTATCGCTGTCAGCAAGACCATCAACAGGAGCAGTCTGCACGTCTACGCCTCCACGAGCACCAGGTGCTTCCTCCACAGTAGACACAGGACCAACAGGCTGGGGAGCAGCAATAGCAGCAGGGGGCTGCTCCACAGCGACAGAGTGGCCAGGCTGTACGAGAACACTCTCTCGCTCAGAATCCAATCGAACAACGTCCTCAATCTGCATCTGCATTGGGACCAGCGGCGCTGGTACCGTTTAGCCGAGCTCGGCGGCTTGAACTCCCCATGATCTTGGCTGAGCGTGTCCAGTGCCTTCCTGAACTCGGCTGGGTCTTCATCACTGGGCCGCCACGTGTCACCAGGTTGGGGCCGGTGTGCCTTGAGTTTCTGACACCACCAGCCGAGCTCAGCGGTCTATCAGCGCATTCTTGCCCACTGAGCTCGGCATCCCGCTGAGTAGTACTTGGCTCCTGGTACGTTATTCCACTGCGGCCGTGGAGTGTGACACAAAACTTGATGTTCCCTACACCACAGTTCCCTGAGTTATTCCTGTGATATATGTCATACCATAATCATTTTTTCCTAGGTAGAGCGTTTGCGCGTACTCATAAGTTAGGAACCCACTCGAATCTAGCGTTAAATAGAAAGTAGGATTGTAGGTCGGAGATATGAAAGTAGGTTGAGGATAACTAAACCCGCTCATTACAATCTTTTGTATGTTTGTTTTCTTTCAAGCTATATAGATTCAAGGATAAAGAGACTTAAGCAATGAGTTCAAGCAAACAAAGTTTGCGAATCGTCGCCACAGGCACCTCAATACCCGATTTTGGAGCTTCGATTTCAAAGAAGTTTAAGGCCGCGTCAATGGGAGATATTCCTGCGCTTGATATGAAGAAATTGTTTCGCATGATAGTACTCGGTCCAAGCTTTTCCGGTAAGAATAATCTATGCATGTTTATCCTAAAGAATTCCCCGCACGTGTTTGCTCACTTAACCCCCCCCCCCCAGCGCCTAAGCTTTTTTTTTACCTGTTTTTTATTTCACGGTACTCGCCCAACATGATAGTCGTACACAATGTTAAAGCCGCGCAACACTTAGTTTTACTATAGTCTCGTATAAGTTCGAGTACCGACTGTGTACAACGACGACATGACCATTTCGTCAAGTCGTTTATCATGTTGTACAAACAGCATGTACATGGTGTATGATACAGCATGTACATGGTGTAGATACACCGTGATAAGGACTTTTGATGAGAAGTCAGTGGCTTTTTTATCAAGAGACTGGGCAAGGACCTATAACGGAGTGCAACGCAGGGTGACTTGCACGGCATCTTGCACGATAGCAACGACGCATCAAGTGAAACCGTTCATAAACCTAGCGCGTTGTAGCCTTGAGCTATCACCTTCACATCATTTACCACCTTACTGCAGAGGTTCACACACACATGCGCAACTTGATCCTTGTATATCCCCTCTAATCTGTTTCATTTGCAGACTAAATACCAGTCGATTCACTATCCTATTTCTAATTCCCTCTCAAAACACCATTTTACCTCGTAAAGTATCCGGGAGAATGGCCGGTATCTACGCTAGAACACGCTTCACGCTCAACTTGGCACAACTGTTCTTGTAACACTATCTACACCACTTTCTTGGGCCCTCTATAACGTGCACAGTTAGTTGAAAGTAATACACCACCAGTCAACTTACACAATACACGCAATAAATATCAAGTAATGGAATCGTTGTCGATTTAGTAGCGGTTTCTTTCTACCCTAAATCGAATCGACGTAGCAACGGCATCGCTTTGTATTTACTCAAGCACGCGTTCGCACAGTTTATATCCGTTTATATCCAGTAATCTGGTCCGCCGAACCCAAGCCCTGTGCATTTTGCGGGATGGCCTGACTTATGCGGCTAACCCGCCCATGTTTTAGCAGGTTGTACGTACAACACGTTTCTTGGTGTATCTACAACGTGTGGGCGTTGAGGGGTTAACCATCATCGCTCGTAACCCTAACCAGGAGCTCTACGAATATCTGAAAGAGAAGCTTGACGGCTTTATCACGTTTACTGATCCAGATATGCCACCAAGCGTAGACCAAGTCCGCCATATACCAATGAGTTCCAACAAGCCTGAGCTTGTAATTATCGATGACTACAGTAACGATAAACTACTTCAAAAGAACATTTTCTCACACTATTTCACTAGAGGTAGGCATTTCAAGCTGAGCACCATATTTCTAAGTCATAGCTACTTTGCAATCGATAAGATAATTCGCTTAAATTCAGAGTATGTAGCGATTCTGAAGGCTAATTCGAAGCGTGATTTACAGATGGTTGTCAAAGATTTCAATATCCCGGCATTGACCGATCGATCTACAGTAATGTGCGTCAATAAGGGACCTCTGATATGAATAGGAGTGTAAAGGCTATTATGGAAAAAGAAAGAACAATGTATTGTTAAGAATAAATGACACACCGTTTTTACTAATGAGCGTGGAGTGCAACCAGCACTTCTGAATCGTAGAAGCTGACACATTATCCCACGCAGACTCGCACCACTTCATGGCAGATAGTAAGTCGACTGTATGTCTAGGGATGCCCAACTTCTTGGCTAGCACCGTAGCATAGAAGACGATCATTGCACCGCTGAGGCAAATGCCCTCCGCCTCTGCAAGCATGATGAACTCGACGATATAGTGAAATGAAGTAAGAATCAAAGGATATGTTTTAGGGCATCTGATTGGATAATACCAAGGGCATTAAGAGCCATTCAAAGGGAAAGAAGCCAGCGCTGCTGGCAGCAATATGATAAGCCGAGGGATGTGAAGGAGGCAGGCTTTCATTGCCATCACTTCCGAAACTGACGACAACTACACAACTACCTACAATTGCTGCACGCAACATTTCAAGTACTATGACGGCTACCGATGCTAAGACTGGCGGCGGTCTGGAGCGCTTCAATGGCAAGTCCTACACCATGTGGAAGGACAAGCTCCTGACGCACGTCAACTCGTTGGACCATAAGTACCAGACGAAGCTGCTTGAGAAGAGGCAGCCTGAAGCGAAGGTGCTCATGGCCGACTTCTTGCGGAGTAATCCGGAGAAGCCAGCAGCGCCGACCACCGAAACCTCCGAGCAAAAGGCGCTTGAGATGAGGTGGGACGTGACGCACTGGAAGAGAGGAAGGGGCGACCTGCAGAACCTGCTCAATCAGGCTCTGCCCAATTTCTTTCTGTCGACACTGCCGGACATGGTGTCCTCCATGGACCCATGTGAGGTGATCCGGCCGCTCGAAAAAGATTTTGGCCAAGGTGATGCGGCTGGTCTGATTTAGTTGACACGGTCTTTGTATAAGTTGACAGGCGTGACTTAAGGACCCTATATGCGCAACTTAAGAAGGCAAGGAATGAGATCAACAGGAAGACTCGGAAGCTATTTAACCAAGGCATGGTGTCCGAGTCCTGGCTTTGCGTCGAAGTTCCGTCGCAACTGCCAAGCGAGTACTGGGCGTCCTCCATCTCGATGACCAAGGAGGACTTCACGGTGGACAAGGTGGAGGGGGCTTTGCGCCGCGTCTTCGGCGACAAGTCAAAGAAGGACGTGGGCCTTATGGACAAAACTCAGGTAACCCACATCAACAACGTCCGAGCCAAGGTGGTTGGACAGAAAAGAAAGCCCGCCAGTACCGAGGGCGACAGAAGTTGTTTCTATTGTTTCGAAGCGGGACACTTCAAGTCGGACTGCCCCACGAAAGTGGCCGACAGGGACCCGAACCGCCAAGGGGGACCTCTTTTCCGGACGGACATAAAGACGGCCCCGGGCGCTAAGAAGGCCAAGAAGGCAGCGATCAACACTCTCAAAGCGGTGGTGGCTGAAGGACAAAAGAAGCTCGGCAAGGACGATAAGACGACGCTCGAGAAGAGCCAGGAGGACCAATTGATGGATGACATCAACAGCCTGGACCCCGAGAAGCAGGACGAAGGCAAGTCGGCTGAGACGCCGCCACTAAAAGACATGGAAGAATTCGAGGCGATGGTACGTAAATTTCATTCGTCATATTTTAGTTATTTACGGAACCTAAAGTTAACGGATGATATGTGGGTCGTTGACACTGGTGCAGGCCGAGGAATAACATCAGACCGAAGCTGGTTCACGGGAAGCCTGAAGCCCGACCAAAGTCACGTCTTCACTTACGTCAATGACACCGTTTCGCATAGTGCACTTAAGGGATCAATAAATCTAAATGTGTTGAACCCTGAAGGATATTTGAGTGCGTTAAAGTTAACGGAAATTTCATATGACCGGAAATGTGACAGTAATTTACTAAGTGCATACTATTTGGCTAAGCAAGGTTACAGGCACATCCAGTCAAAATCCGGAGATTTCCTCTTTTGCATAGGAAATAACTTTAAGTTACTGTTTGCAGCAGTAGCTATAGGTGAAGTTTATTACTTACCGAACGTTAAACCCGTAAGGACGAGTGTGTTTAGTGTCCAAACCCACAAATATGGCAATATCCTGAAAGAATGGCACTTGAGGCTCGGCCATGTTGGTAAAGAACGATTAATTCGAACACTAAGTAACGAGAAAATTGTTGGGCTACCAAAAATACTTTACTCTGAACTGAAGAAGGTTCATTTCTTTTGTAAGACATGCGCCCACATGAAAGATAGAAGAATGTCCTATAAGAACATGGTGGGAGCCAAGGCTGCTGAGCCACTCCATACACTCAACTGGTAAATTACGGGTGAATGGCTTATATGGCTCGTTTGGCTATCACTATGCCCTGTCCGTTGTAGATGACGCTACCTCTTATAAGTGGTACTTTGTGGTAAAATCCCTGAAAGAAGTTCCCGGCAAAATTCGGGACTTGCTGAAGAATTTGTCAGTACAATTTACATTTAAGGTTAAGAGAATTAGAACCGACGGTGGTTCTGAATTTCTAAATTCAGAGGTGTCTAAATTGTGTTCTAAACTCGGTTTAGACTTTCAAAGTTGAAATGTAGAGTCACAAGAAGAGAATGGGAGTGCAGAAAGAGTGCACCAGACGATGATGGCTGGTGTTCGCTGTGCACTCAGATGGGCCAATATGCCGGCTAAGTGGTGGCCTGAAGCCTTAAACTATATTGTAGATGTCACCAACCGCCTACCAATGGCCAGACTGGGGATGAAGACCCCGTATGAATTACTGCATCGTATGAAGCCAAATGGCTTGGCACTCAGAATTTGGGGCACAACATACTATGCACATGTACCCAAAACAAAGCGAACAGACCCAAAACTCGGTGATCGAGCAATCGAGTGTAAGCTTTTGGGGCTGACACCCAAATATAAGGGGTATCGGCTGCTAGACGTCAAGGCAAATAAGTACCTAATCTGTCGCGACGTTAAATTTAGCTCAACAAGTACAGAGGCAATGATACAAAGGTCGTTCCCTACTGAAGACAGTAGCGTGGATCTGGAAGAGGAAAAGGTCATACAGAATTTAGGTAAGCGACCTAGAACAGACGTTGATGCTGAAGCGACCACCGAAGTTGAAGCCTCAACCTCAGCATCTGCCACGCGACCACCGACATCCCGAATAGAGGGTGCGGAAAATGGGGTCAGTAGTGACAGACGAGGGTCTAAGAGGAAAAGAAAGCGTAACGTCAGACTGACACATTATGTCACTCAGTTAAATAATGTAACAACTGGTAAGAAACGTATTCCCATTCCGCGATATATTAAGGAGGCGCGGGCTAGCGAATATGCCGCGCAGTGGGAGTGCGCAATAAAGACAGAGTTTGAGGCCTTACTAAAGAACGGCACATGGAAGTTAGTGCCTCTGCCAGAAGGGCGACGAGCACTCGGTTGTCACTGGGTGTTCGACGTAAAGTACCATTCTGACGGTACAGTTGACCGATTTAAAGCACGGTTGGTAGTCCAAGGGAACCCCCAGCTGTACGGCATTGACTACCAGGAAGTTTTTGCCCCAGTAGCTCGGTATGAGTCTCTGCGGCTTTTGCTCGCACTATCGACAGTTCTAGATCTACACCTGCATCAAATGGACGTCTCTACTGCATTCCTAAATGGTGTACTAAGCGAAAGTATTTACATGAGGCAGCCAATGGGATTCCATAATGGATCCGGGCTTGTCTGTAAGCTTGAGAAAAGTCTGTACGGCCTAAAACAGGCCCCACGAATTTGGTATGAAGTAATAAATGCATTCCTAAAATATTTAGGCTTTTCCAGATGCAAGAAAGAACATTGCTTGTATCTGAAAAGGTGGGAGGTTCAAGGAGTCACACACACGCTAATTGTGTGCGACTATGTGGACGACCTTACGATCGCTGGCTCACACTTGAGCTCGATCAATGATCTGAAAGCTAAGTTGTCTACTAAGTTTACTATGAAAGATTTAGGCGAGTTGCACCATTTGTTAAAAATGGAGATCCAAAGAGATCTAAAAAGGAAAACACTGCGTCTGTCGCAACAAAAGTACATTCAGGACCTTTTGGAAAAGTTTCAGATGAGGGACTGTAATACAGAACCGACACCACAAGCTAAAAGTGTGGTTTTAGAGAAGGACACTAATATGACACCCGAACAGATAGCGGCTCAGCCGTTTGATTACCGAGGTCTGACTGGCTCATTAATGTATTTAGTAAGAGACACTTGACCTGATATAGCAAACGCTGTAAGAGAGTTGAGCAAGTCTTGCTATAATTGAGCAAGTCTTGCTATAATAAGACCCATTGGAGAGCGGCTCAGAGAGTACTAAAGTACTTGAAAGGAACGTCGAAGTACGGCTTAGAGTACAATGGAAATAGTAATATTAAGGTAGAGCTAAACACAGACGCGAGCTTCGCGAATGCAAATGAACAAAGGAAATCAATTACAGGATATGTATCAATACTTGCTGGTGCATGCATTACTTGGAAGAGTATTAAGCAAGATTGTATTAGTCTCAGCACAGCGGAACCGGAATTAGTAGCCGCAAGTGAAGTGTAAGAGAGGCAATGTGGTTACGACTACTATTGAATGAGTTGGGTTACGGCCAAGCACGGCCAACACAGTGTTGGTGCGATAGCACTGCCACAATTTGTATAATAAAAATCCCACGCAGTCATTTGTCAACAAAACATATTGATATCAGGCATCTCTATGCCCGCGATAAGCATGAAGAGACAATTATCAGTATTACTTTGTAATACCAACGATATGATAGCAGATGCACTCACAAAGCCACTGACTCAAAGTCAATTTGAGAACCTTCGCGCGATGATGGGCGTAAAGAATTTTGAGGTGTAAGCTTACCGATAAACTACACCGCGAGAAATAAAATACTTTGCACCACAAATAATTGTTTTCAGACACAAGAAGGTGGGACTTTGTCCCAAAGGCAATTTTTGATAAGACACAAATAAAGAAAACTATTCGGGAAGTTTTTCAACGTAAGAACTGCAAAAAGTACAAAAGGTTGATTAAAGTTAACACTAAAGGCAAAGATTTACAACAAAGTTAAGATTAAAGGTCAGTTTAAGGGCTAAAACCTCACTTTTAGGTGGAACCTAACCCTAACGGTGGACTCCTTGTCGGTCTGGGCTGCAAGCCCCACACTCTTGAGTACATTTTACTCAACTTTAAGTTAATTTTTAGTCTCTGACTCTCTCATCTGTCGCCGGCGGAAAAGCGCATTGATCATAGACTGGATGACCGCGAGTAGCTCAAAACAATGAGACTTTCCATCCACAGGGTCCCCAGTTGGGCTGTTGGCTGCGTGTTAACCTCCGGGGCTCTGTGGCCTAGATCACACAACTCTAGCCAGGGGGATGTGAATGGCTTGCGGCATCCCCTCTTGCGGAGTTTGCGTCAGACCAGCACTTGTGCGGCACAGAGGCAGAAGAGAGAGTGAGAAGCAAAGGCAAAAGGCGGAGGGAGCTTTATGGGAAAGGTGTTCTCTCCAATATATAAGATAAAGTATGAATCTTAGTTTGGGCTGATCTGATATGTACTGCTTATGATATAAGTATCTTGGGCAACCTGATAATTTAATTTTGGGTATGCGACACGAAATAATATGAGAACGGTGTTGAAGTCGAATAGTCGAGAGCGATCTTTCGAGAGGCGCGCTGGCATCTTTAGTGGGAGTGTTGCGCCATATATACTAAGGCATTGTATGCTATAGTGAAATGAAGTAAGAATCAAAGGATATGTTTTAGGGCATCTGATTGGATAATACGAAGGGCATTAAGTGCCATTCAAAGGGAAAGAAGCCAGCGCTGCTGGCAGCAATATGATAAGCCGAGGGATGCGAAGGAATCAGGCTTTCATTGCCATTACTTCCGAAACTGAAGGCAACTACACAACTACCTACAATTGCTGCACGCAACATTTCCCAGGGAGCCTTTGCAGACCGAACTCGACTTTGGCCCAAAGGGCCAGGTCTTCATACTTGACAGCGGGGGAGCTCTCAGCCTTCTTGATCAGACGCAGCTTCTGCTGCTGGGTGAGGCGAGTTCTAGTCTTGGAGGAGGAGCTCATGAGGTGGGTGGACGGGTAGGGCGCTGGTGTTGTGGCAGATTCCGTTGTGCTTGGAGATCGCGCTGAGCGGGTTGGAGGGAAGGAGTTAAATTCGCGCCCGAATTCAAATGGTAGCTTCAATCACTGATTGGCTAGATCTGACCTCACTAGCCAATCACGTAGTGCGCGCTCGTTCCGAAACCAGCCAATAGCGCCAGGATCCTATCGAAAGTAAACTTAAATCAATGTTAGCTGTGTTCTTGACTGACAGCTGTATATAATGTATGTAAGGATATTAGTTGCCACACGTCCCTTATTGACGCACATTACTGTATTGTACATTACTACAACAGCGCAACGGAGAGAAAGGGCCAGATGCTCTTCATAGATTCTGTTAAGTCCCAAATTAGGTCTAATTTTGACAAGGTGATTCATACCGATGAGTAATTCTGTGATATTGAATACTAATATATTTCATAAAAAATAGAATATGGCAAGCTTTGTTGAGATTGACAGCACGAACCTTGTTTAAGATGGATACAACTCAACTCGGAAATATACCTTCCCTGGTTCGGCTGCCAACTTCAATGACGCAGTATGCGCGATTCAATCAATTAACCTGAGCAACAGCGAGTATAACATTGATACTATACAGTTCTACAATACTACTTTTAAGCTTGAAGTACCAACCGCTACGACGACTTCAACGATCAATATGTCACTTCAGGATGGTATTTACATATACGCTGATATTAACCGAAGCATACAGACTGCTCTCGTGAATGCTGGAGCATATCTCATCGATGCCAGTGGCAATAACGTCTTTTACATCCAGCTAACAGAAAACAGCGTCTACTACGTTGCGCAATTTGACTTCACCCCATCTCCGACAAGCTTACCTGCTGGCTACACAAGACCATCAACAGGCTTATACAGCTCTGGTGGCACTGGTTTTCCTACAACTAGTCGCGTGCCTCGTATTATCATCGACAATGCTGAGTTTGGCAAAGTAGTGGGGCTATCACCCGGAACTTTCCCCTCAGCCTCTGCAACAGTTGCAAGTGCACAGCTCTCTAATATCATCCCTCAAGCTCATCCTACAAGCTCTTACATAGTTCGATGTGATCTAATTAAGAATGGCTATGTAGCTTCTGGAGATATCATTTCCTGCTTTAATCGCGGTGATGCTGCTATTGGTAAACTAATCTCGTATCAACCCAGTCAGTATGCCTGGATGAACTGCCATAACGGTTCTCGCTCAACTATTACCATCAGTATCTATAACCAAAACGATAAGAAATTTACTTTTAGAGATACTTCGGTGGCAATCATGCTGCTAATTAGACAGAAAAAATAATTAAAAAAATGATTTTTGTTCAGCGGTTAAAACGTGAATGACCCACCGGCTTTACCGTGTTTTCTCATCGCACGAATTCTAGCCATGTGATCTTTGGCTTCTTGAGAACCCTTGACAAACTTTCTACCCTTCTTAGCAGGGACACCAACACCGTAACGCCGCTTGATTTCACCTCGAACCGATTTGATTAGCGTTTCATGTTCAGGCTTGGTAGCCTTCGATAGTAGAAATTTCTCACCAGCATCACCAGCATCGGTTAGAACACCCTTGCGTCTACCATACGAAAGCGCGCGTTTAGCATTCTTTTTAACATCGTCTAGCGAAATGCGTCCTCCTTCCTTTTCCACATCACTGTCAGAATCATAAACTCCGATACCGGTAAGAGACTTTATTGCAGCGCGCGCAGGAATAGCGGCAGTAGATTGTCCTGCATAGGTCGCTAATGCCGGAACAGCAGCATCCACAGCCTTACTTAAGATTGAATTGACTTGAGAAAACGTAAGTCCTGGACGCCGACGCTTGGATAGTTCACTCTTATTGGTTAAAATTGTGAATTGTCTGCTATCGACGGATCACAAAGCAAAGCAATATGCTGGGGAGCTGAACAGAGCTTCTGTGTCCTCGTAAATGTTGGGCGTATGTAAGCTATTAGCGCGCTGTGTATTGTGTACTAATTCATCTCTTACGCGTATTTTGTCGTGGCTTGGTGTGCTGCCGACTTCGTGAAGACCCGTGAGGGCGCGCGCTCTGCGTGGACGTCGCTGTTACTGGTAGCGAAGCTGACAGCGTCGCTGCCACAAGTGATGTCGCTGTTGCTGACGGGGTCACTATCGCTTGTGGTGTCGCCGATGCCGCTGGAGCCGCCGATGCGGCAGGTGTCAAAGCTGGCGGCGGTGCGACATCTGAAGCTTGTGTTGGCGACGAAGGTGTTGCTGCTGCCGGCGTTGATGTCGCGGGCGGCGTCGGTGTTGCTGATGGTGTCGCCGACTGGAGCGTGACTGCTGAAGGTTCGAGTGGACCATAAGCTGGGCTATTCTCCACAGCGACTTGACACTTCCGCCGCTTGAATGGAAGCGACCGCGTGCCTGTGCCTTCAGATTCGCGAATTAATCTCAGCACCGTGGTAAGATTGAGCTGATTGGTTCTGCGCTTACGCTTACTCGGCTTTAATTGAACTTTGTGATAGCCAATGTTGAACAGCTCGATGGCGTGAGGTTCGTCGTGAATTGGAGGTAGTGACATGCCTGTTTGTGCTTCAACTGCGTTACTTATGTGCCTCATCATGATCGACCACTCCTACGAAGTCGCTTTCTTCTTTGGCGTGTCGAGATCGTCCGAGGAAATAGCTTTGTACGGAGGATAGTCACGTCTCGCATCGCCAAACCACCACAATATCCACGCGCCGAGTGGATCGATACTGAGAAATTCAAATTCTTTCGGCAGCCTATGAAACTTACCATCCCATGAGTAGTAGGTGTGCGTTGGACCAGAAGAGGCTGGTGTTGCGTAAAAGTTCCCGAGTAATATTACCCGCTGCGACACCTTTTTCCTCGAGCACCTTTTCCATTCGCTGTTAAAGCATTTCGGGGCGAGCATCTATAGACTGTTGCTGTTGTCGAGCTTCTAGTACAGCTCAATATGAGGCGATATCCCCGACGGCTCCATCCATCTTGACTCTCCGACCTCCAGTTTCGAACGCAGATTATTGAGAATGGTAGGGCTTGTGAGCACAAACGTCGACAGAAGAGGGTGGTTGGTAGGCAAGTGGTTCACTAAAAAATCAGCGTGCTGGACAAGCGAAGCAAGACACAGCCTCAAAATATCACTTAGGTTCAATTCGTCGACGAGTCCTGGAAACATCGCTGCAAGACACGACTTTATCTCGTCGTCCGAGTTATTGCGGAAGTGCGGTGGTAGGAAGGCGAACTTGGAGTCATTCACAAGAAGCCCAGCAACAACACGCCCTAAAAATCGATCGCCCGCAGCTTCATATTGAAAGTATCTGTCTTGCACTCCACCCATAGACCACCCACACCGAAGACAAACACTTACAATGGACGGGCCACCAGTACTTCCTCCGCAGGCAAATGTTGCCACACCTTTTCTCACCGAGTGCGTCCCGTAGGTTTTAGCCACTCCATCTTTTTTCAGGAGATTTCCTAATGGCTTGCCGAAGCGAAGCAATGGGTCAGATCCCGGAAATAGTGGCCCTGGTTGCGCGCGCGGATTACATGCCCAATAAATCGCCAACGCTGTCACCCAACACGTAGATGGCGAAAACGGGTTTGCGTAAAGATGACGGGGGTCACGTGGGCCAGCACCTTCCTGATTGGTCTTGGTCTTAAAAACTATCGCCCCAACAGCGTCATCTTTGGCCAAAACGTGCTGCGTCTGCAGGGTTTGAACAGATACCGATCGACACATGAGATTCCACTGAGTAGTTAAAAAGCGATGCGAGAACCCCCCCCCCATCGTTGCGCTCAAGGGTAGACCAACACAGCTCCTTGTACAATGAAAAAGTCAGCGGCTGCTTGCCCGAGTGTTTACGAGAGCTAGACTGGTTTTGCTCAGCCTCGAGTCGCTTGCACCCACAAAAAACTGCTTCATGTCATCTCCGTATTCCACAGACAGCGCTACTCGTTTCAATCGATACAGATCCTTTTTTGCGCTGCGATAGCCGCTTAGAGTCGCCGATTTGGCTGTACTTCGTTTGTACACCAAAAATGGCTCGAAGCAAGCTGGAGTGAACTCTGTGAGGTTTAGATCATCATCGGCATCGAAAAATTTAGCTGCATTGCGATCCTCCAGCGTCAGCGCATACACTTCTCTGATCCACTTCTTGATGCCGTTGATATTGCTGGTGTACTTCATTCTCGTCTCTTTGGAGATGCATGCGTCGCGTATTGCCTCCACCTCCGCGACAGCGTCCTGCGAGCTTCCATCAGCCAACTTCGCACGAAGCGTTCGTTCTTAAAGTGATTTTGGCCAATCATCGTGGCGCCTTATCGTCGGCTACCATCGCTTACGCCTTCCCGTAAGGATGCGATCCTAACTGCCCCCATAGTGGACCTCAGTCAATGTGTCGTTCTCCAAGGGGTGGGAATACACCAATTCCGGAAATCATAAGCCAATCCGCCTACGTTTTAACAGGAAATCCCATATGTAACTTACGTAAATACGAGAATGCTGAGTCTTTAGAAAATTAAAAGCCGATTTAATGCCTCCCCACACTTTTGACCAAATGCTACCACCTTGAGCCTTCTTGTACCCTTTCTTGACTTCGTGTTTGGTGATCTCAAGACGAACACCACAACCGGCTTTGCGAGCCTTGATCGCCTTTTCATACGATGAAGGGTGAAGATGGACAACGCTGCCTGTTCCTTGAAGCTCAGTCTTAGTTAAACTGAGCTTACCAGTTTTGAACGCCTTCTTTAGTTTTGCCGGGGCAATGCCACTGGAGATCGTTAGTTCACGATACATGATTTACTATATGTTCTAAAACAAATTAATGATAAATTAATTCAGAATAGTTAGGTTGAGATCTTTCATGTTCTTAAATACATTGGGTTGTTGTGTTGTTTCGAATAGAGCCATAACACACAAGATGGCCCGCAAAAATCACCATACGTCCCTTGATATTGTTTTGTATTATACTTAGCGATACCATAACGTCTTGGCTTCTCCCATTGAGTCAAAATATTCTCCATTGTGAACTGCTGTCCAGTGACCTATTTCAAGGTTTGGAGGTCGAAGAAGTATAAGATATGAACCTCGCTTTGGAAGCGGTGCCTTAATCTCGTTTGATTCGAATATATTATGGAGTTGGACATTCATTTACTCAGCTAGTTCTATTAGATCATGATCGCTAGTGACTGGCTTTATCAGGCTGGCCATATTATTTATTTATTTTAAAATATATTAGGGCTCATATAGATTCAAAGATGAGTGAGACCCAACTGTCAGACCAATACTTATACCAAAGCTCCCTTAAGAGTGACCCGGAGATCAAAGTATCTTCCACCAAGCGTATCCCTAACGTTATCGATCTAAATCAGGGTTCGTATCAAAATGGAGTCATCACTATCGATGCCACGGCTCAACTTAATGGTTCGGAAGGCTTTGCTTGTCTTCGTGATGCTTACATCATGCTACCTTACAAGGTTTCGATGAAGAATGGTGCTACTGCGCAAACCGCTGCCGCAAACCGTTTCTGTACGACCCTAAAATGTGGTAATTTCAATGTAGTTGACTCGATGTCTTTGGAATTGAATGGTAAGACTATTATTTCGATGGCTGACTACAAACTCTTCTGGAATAATGTTCGTTCTCAAACTGGATACAGTCCTCAGTACGTTGAGAAGCATGGTGCTGAGTCGTTCCTATACCCCGATGCAGCTCAGTCCGTCTCGTATAGTTCTGGATCCGCTTCCACTAGCGGAGATGGATATTCTAACACTATGGCTTTTTCATCATCGTTTAGTACTTCCGCTCCTCCTGGTGGTGCAACTATCCCTAATGACGGCTTCGTTACGCGTCTATTATCGATTCCTCCGACAGCAGGCGCTGATTTCTCTAGCGGTTGGCCTTCACTAGGTGCTGCTTCTGCTTGTACTACCATCTCGAATCAAACGGCTCGTGGTGCTTTTGTTGCTGGCGCATCTACTGCTAACGCTATCATGGGTACGTGGAACTACATGCTCAAGATTAAATTAACTGATCTCCACCCGATTTTCCGTGAGCTAGATTTGATGGCTAATCCTCAGATCCGACTTCGCTTCCGCGTGAATCAGGGATCGTCTGCTATCGCTGTTGACGCTAGCAAAGGTATGACGCTTACTTCGACAACGCTCTCTTCAGGCAATACTTGTCCGGTAATGGTCGCAAGTTCTGCAAGTGGTAATCCGATGAATGGTGTACTTGCCGCTTCTGCCGGCTTCAGTGTTGCTTGGGGTGCTGTTGTTAACCCTCTTGAGCCTACGATTGGTGGTACTTACATGCCTTTTACTACAGCTCGTCTATATGTACCGTTCGTCAACCTTGGAAACCCTCAAGCTATCATCTCTAAACCGGTTAAGAAGGTTCGCTACAATGATTGTTATGCTCAGTGGTTCTATCAACGCACTGGCATTGGTAAGCAATCGACTCAGCTTAATGCATCGTTTGATCTTCAGCTATCGGCCTCGGTTAAAAATGCTAAGTATATCGCAGTACTTCCATTCGCTGAACAAACTAACAACTTCGCATCTGCTGGTGTTCAACAGTTCCAGAGCCCATTCGATTCCGCCCCATGGACGCTTCAACCTGGATCTTCGATTCGAAACTTAAATATTCGCATTGGTTCATCTCAGACGTTTGATCTCAATCATGACTATGACTTCCATCACTTCACTAATGAAGTCGCGAAGCTTGGCGCTATCAATGGCGATCTAACTCCCGAACTCGTGAATGGTCTACTTGATTACCAAACTTGGTCGCTAACTAACCGCATGCTCATTGCCGACGTGTCTCGTCTAACTGAACGTGACGTACCGCAAGCTATTCAAATTCAGGGTGTAAACGCTGGCTGCCAAGGTGTCAATCTTCTAGTTCTTGTTATTAGTGAACAAGAGCTTACCTACAACCGATTAACTGGTGAGGTTGAAGATTATACCACCGCTTAATTAATTAAATATATAATTTCTTAAACCTATCTGTATATATCACCAACATGTCGACTGAGTTAAGTTTCGAAAATTTTAAAGGTAAGACCATTGAAGAAGTATTTGCTTCTGATCCTGGTTATAGCCGCTGGCTGAAGAACCAACCAAATTTACTAAATGATACCATGCTTAAGTTTCTTGACTCCAAGCTAGCCGATGATCCATGATGATGTTGATTATGTTATGAATTTTGGTAAGTACAAAAACAGAAAACTTAAAACTGTCCATGCTCTCGATCCTAACTATACTGACTAGGTTCGTAAAAATAAATTTGTTATTGAGAAGTGTCCACGTCTAGTAAAAAAACTTAGCGAACTCCACTAGATCATCAATATTTTTATCTCTAATAGGAGACATAAAAAATGAGTCGATTGACTCATCACAATTTGTTAAGCGTTAGATCTTTAGCACCACTCAAACAATTTCTCGATATCATCGAACTGATTCATTTGATTTTGGATGCGGTTTGGGTGCATTGAGGCTGCGATTAGCTCGTGTTTGATAGTGTTAATGAATCGACGTTGCCCGAATGATTTCACCTCATCTTGAAGCTTATCGACGACAGATTGAACGGGATGTTCGACGTAGTCCCCATTAAAGTTAGACCGGAATGATGTTTTACTCAGACCGGTCAGCGACATGAGAGTATTCAGATGCCACATCTCGAATGCTTTTCGCTGAGTCTCAGTAATTCTCTTAGGAATGGGAATAATATCCTCACAATCGCAGTAGATGATTTGTTCACATAGCTCGCAACCATCGACTAATCACTCGTCATCGCATTGGTGGATCTCTCCATCTGCGATAGCTTCGTAGTATGCTGCTTGGTCACCGTTATAGCGATCAGCAATCATTGCTTGAGCGATAGTACTAGTATTGCACATTGTTATTGTTGGTTGGTTGGTTGGTTGATCGTATGATATGTTGTTATTGTCCTGGTAGTGCTTCGGCTACGAAGTATGGACAGCCCAACCAGGATTAATTCGATGCACCTGATATGTGGCGCACATGAAGTAAAAGTATACTGAAATCAAGTGAAACCGTTTAATAATTTCAGAAATCGCATGGTTTCTTGAAATTCACGGAAAAGTAGAGGTTTTTTCGGTGGAGTGGCAAACTAGTTGAGTAGGATATTCCGTTCCAGAGATGAAAGGCAAACGTTAAGTACGACGACGGAGGCCCTGAATACGCGGTGGAGACCCGACACCGCTCTCTAGTATTGATATGGTGGGGAGTGCATGGTGCGCAAGGAGTTGGGTGCGATGCTACAGTATGAAGGTGGCTTGGTTTGTTTTTAATTCAGTATCATTGTTGTCATTTAGAATCCAAAACTGGCTAGATAGTACAATTGTATATGCAGATCGATGTGCGCACGGATAGCATACCAGCGCTCCGGCGAGCAAGCAGTTAGCACGGCGGTAGGCAGATAATGGGCGACCTCGATCGTTGTAACGCGAGCAAGGCGGCGGGCAGTTAGGGTGCGACTTGGATCGCGATGCAGCGCAAATCGTGCATGTGCCCACGTAGCTGGCAGGGTGGCGTTGGTGGCTTCGTCCGTTTCGGTCGGTTCAGGGTGCGGCTTGGCGAGTCCAGCTAGCTCGGCACCACAGCAGCGGAGTTTTTTACCGTGAGTACGGGGGGGGGGGGGTTGGCTGCTGTGGCGACCGAAAAGCTGAACTGGGAAGCCCGGCGCTTAGTAGGTCGCCTGCCCCTCCCCCACCCGCCCTTTTTGAGGAAAACCCGGGAAGGGCGCTGGCCAATTTCGAGTGAGTAGCTTTTAGGGTATTACTATGCATTGTCGCTGGGAGCTTTCTTTGAAGTAAACACTTAAATGTATCGCAGGATTTGGGGTCTCAACGCTTCAAGAGTTCGTAGGTTGCGCGCTCGCGGGGATTTCTTGGGACTTGGCTGGGCGACCGGAAAAGCTATGTCCGCCCCCCTGCCCCTTTTCGAGGAAAGCACTGGGCGGAAATGTTTGGAATAAAGAAAGATCTACAGGTTTCGGCTTCCGGCCTGGGAAGTCTCTAGGAGCTTTTCTTGAAGTTAAGCGCGGGATTTTGGGGTCATACTCCCTCAAAAGCTCTTGGATGATGTGCTCAGGGGGATTTCTTGGGACTTGGCTGGGCGTCGCAGCTTCATGCCCTTCTGGTCCCTCGCGCAGCGATGGTTGTTTGTTTTGTTGCATTGACGCTGTCGTGATTTCTCGCGGTGTACTGTATGCTTCGAAGGTGTACTGTATGCTTCGAAGGGCGGGAGCCTCAACGCGTCGCTGCACTCGCGACCGCCTGCCACGCTCTCGGTGTACTTCAAATCTACCGGCCATATTCGCGGGCATAGCTGCAGTAGCATCACGTCTGAACGGGGCCGTCAGCGGCGTGTGGTAGCGTCTGTCCTGGAGGTGCTGCGTGGGCGTGGTGAAGTCCGCGGGGCGTCGTGCACATGGACGTGTTGAAGCTGCGTAGACGCAGCGGTGAGGGGTGTAGCGAGTCGCCCGCGCCAGCAGCCCGCCATGGAGGCCTTGGCGTTCGCGAAGATGGGCTCCAGCAGGAGCACGGCCGCATTTTTGATTTGGTTTGGGTAGATGTGACATAAGTGATATTCATGGACTTGTAACGGTGCCGGCTAGATGTAACAGAAATTATATTCGTCGGCTTCTCAGGATTGTACACTATTGCTATTATGCGACCGCTCACGTAAAGTCGTGTTTTGTCAGTTGTGGTTGCATTGCCATAGACGAGTGTAAGAAAGTTCGAAGTATGCGGCGACTAGAGAGCTTCGTGGTTGATGGGCTAGGCCGTCCGTGTTCTTAGCGGTGGAACAAAGAAAATTGTAGTGAAAGCCGATGACGGCGGAGTCGGTGTTCGAGCTGTGGGAGTCTCGGGCGGTGAACCGGGCGCTGTCGCAGCCCCGCGCCTCGGTGGGTGCAAGGGAAGAAGGATGGGTATCCCTTCCATGCGACGGCGAGCTGTTGAGTAATATGACTGTTGGGTTGTTTGGCTATGATGTCCCGGCGTGCGTCAACTGCTTGTATCATGCGGTATGGTCGGCGGCATCAGTCGCTGGTGTGTCGACTCCGTTTGGCGTCTCGTCGTCGGCCCATGTATTTCATATGCGGGTGAAAGTGGCAGTTGAAGTAGTTCGTTTTCTTGAAGAAGGGCGTATAAGTGATGACTTGGGCAAATGCCCACTTTATGCTCGGGACTTGGTGGCGATGCCAAATCAGTACGAGCAATGCTCGGGGGCGATTCCCATTAGCACGATGGCATGAATGTTAGGGCGTCCAATTGTCGTGCTATCGGTCGATGGAATTTTGGGGGTTTACCCAGAGGGCTACTCATGGAATGAGGGGTTTGCAAGCGAGGGGCTTTAGCTATCTATCACTGTGTGGCCGCGAACATTACGGAAAGCGTTTCGTTTTGAAGCAGAAACCACTATATTCCGGGGTTTTTTTTCGATCACGTGGATGAGTTGGTCCTTGCGAATGCTGCTCGTGATTGGCGCGGGTTTGATATAGCTGACGGCGCCGATGGTACACTGGCAAGTGCGAGTGGAATGAAGCGCAGTTTACCAGCAGCTGAGCCTGCAGGTGCCGGAAGGAAGAAGGCGCGGCGATCGAGGTGTCATGCAACTGATAATAGCTGCACTGAGGAAAACAATAAGCCCCAATTGTTGATTGACCGGGCGACAACAGTCCAAAGTGTCAGTGTGGAAGAGCTGGAAATTCTTAGCCGCCATTTTATGGAGCATCCCCGACGAGCACTACTGTACTACCACTGTTGTTCCGCCGACCCTGACGCGTGTGTATTCAACGACGAGAGCTTGGAGGGCGAGGCTGGCGAGGCTACCGTCGAGCGGCTGATGCAGGTTCTGGATAATCCCGTCAGCGCTGGCGATATCCGTCGTTGCCAAGAACGAGTGGCGAAAAGTTCGGGCGAATCGGGGGATCTCTGGGCTTGCGCTTCATGCTGTGAAATTCTTAATACCGTGGAGGACAGTGTTGAGTTCATCCCGCGCGAGGGGCTTCATCCGAATTTCCTGCTAACGGGGGATGAAATGGAAGCCTTATCCGGTTTAGGGGCGGGTGTCATTGATAATCACATTCAGGTGTTTCGCTCTGGTGCTTTGATGTATCATTTGAACCCTGATCTAGTTCGTGATCCGGGTTCAATTCCTCTGTGTGTGAAATGTGCGGAAGACCATCGGAAGTCAAAGTATAGCATTGCTTCTGGGCATGACTATGGGCGGGTTGGGGGCTTGCCGGAGCTCAATGATGTTGCGAGCAAGTGTATAGCGCCCGTGCGGTCATTTGGGCTAGCAATTACGGCGTCGGGTAAGCATTGCGTCGGTCATTCAATATGCTTTCCGTCGACGGGGCCTGCTGAGGTTTCCAAGGTTTTGCCGTGCACGTCTAGGGATTGCATTCCGAGTGTCACGTTTGTTGGCCCTCGCGACGACTGGCGAGTGAAGCGAAAACACTACAAAAATCTTTACCGGCTCCCGGTGGATGATATGTATGCGTGGATGCGGGTTTTGTCGACAACTCACTCGTATTTCAAAGACAATGATATCCGTATCGATGAGTCTGCCGAGGCAAGACAGGCCCACGTTGAACTTGAAGAACTGATCGAGGCGTCGGTGGAAATTATGACTTCTGAACAAGCCGGGCGTGTCGATGACGGTATGATGGCTGAGCGCTATGGCGACGAGTATATGGGTGGGGATACCGATGAAACCATAGTGGCGAAAACTGCTGCGCTTAAGAGCGTGGACGCATTCGACCTATCAGTAACAAATGCGGCGGTTGATGCTATGCTATCAATGTTGGGACGGGAAGACGGGGGAAACGGTGACACAGAGAGTGGTGTCGAGGATGGGGCCGCGCCAGTTGTTGTGCGCAGGGGGGGCCGATCCTGTTACTGAATGGACTGAAAACGGGGAGCTGATCGTTGCCGCGTTTCCACAATTGTTTATGCGCGGGGGAAAGTTCCTGCCCTGTGGTACCTGGCCAGCATCTTTGACGAGGCACTTGATGCGTTACTATGATGGGCGTTTTGAAAAAGATACACGCTTGGTTGCTACGCTTTTCAATCAGCTCCAGCGCCACACAGCCGTGCGTAGGGCCGCTCGCATTGGTTCTTCGCGCGCGTCGGTTTTAACGCGGCTTGGTAGTTTATCCAACTCTGAGGAATTCAAGGCGCTGCGCATACGCTCGCAGCAGAACCCGGAACCACGCGAAGCGAAGCGGGTCAATGCGTACCTCTTAAGGGTACTCTCTCTGATTGGCGGGTGTGTCCCGTTCTCGCCGTTTGAACGGGCAGCGATGCTGCCGAAATTGGGAGCGATGAGGACGCACTATGGGGTCCCTCTGCATTGGGTGACGGTCGCCCCTCCTGAGCATTATGACCTTGAGTTGCATCGCATCGCGCAACTCAGACAAGCCAATGAGTGGAATCAGCTTACGAGCGTGTTCGGTCATAAGGAGTGCTGCCAAAACGATTTACCAGAGAATGTGAGATCGAGTGCGCGCCACAGGCTGATAATATCTAACGCTTTCCCCGGCCTGGCTGCTCGCGCATTTGAGCGCCGCGTGCGGCAGATATACAACGACATAATTCTATGTAAACGCTCGGTTGATACCAGGATATCCAGGGACCATTCGCAGAGGTGCCCCGGTGGATATAGAACGGTTGCTGCGCACGCTGCTGTCGTCGAGCCGCAGGCCGATAGCCGCCTGCACATTCACATGTGTGTTTACGGGTCCAAGTTGTCACCAGGGTTGCTGTCCCGAATTGCCTGTTCCGAGCGGCTTTGTCGCGGGCGGCGGATTGGCTTGAATCGGTGTGCTGCACGGGGTTTGACAAATCTGTACACGAGTGGCGTCAACGTTGCAAAACCGACGGCGCTGTCTCAAAGGCATTTGAAATCGCTGTACCGGACGCTCTGGAGGACCACGCTGGTTTTGTTGCTGGCCGCGCAAAAGCGCGCTTCGGTCACGAATTTTCACTCTCACACATCAACTTGCTTAAAAGGAATACGCGGCAAGTACGAGTGTCGTTTGTCCCGGCCGGCCGGCGTTCACGATCGTGGTACGTGCCCCTTGATCGTGACCCGCGAGAGAGTAGGAGACATGGCGGCTGGAGTATACCCTATCGTTACAGGTCATAGCCTCCCTCCGCACATTTGTCAGGGAATTGATGCGGGATACTCTACTGAAAAGGGGCAGTGCTTCCGGCCGCATGATGAGGGCCCGGTGGTATGGGAATTGAAGAGGGCACAAACGGTTGCCTCGGTTGTCGAAACCAATCTTGTTCTTGCGGCGCTAACTGTCTCGCATACAAATTCGTCTGTAATAAATGGCGAGTCGTCGGGGGACATGGTTGATGAATACCAAGAGGCCTACATGGCTAAGAATCAGATCGCGTTAAAAGGCGCTGCGACGGCCCTGCTAGGCGCTATTGAATACGGAAAAATTCCGAGCCGGGCGGAAGACTCGAAATCCAACTTGCGAATTGGTAAATACTTAGCGGCCCGGAGAGTGAACAGCTTTTCCGGTGCCCATGAGTGGTCCCATGCGATAATGGTGTACGCGATAACGGGCCACCGCTTGTTCATTTCGAGCGATGCGTTTTGGTATATCTATCCGTTCGCTTTAGTGGAGGCTCCGGAGGGTGTAGCGGTGCCTGCAAATACGTCTCTTCGGACCACCGAGGAGGAACTTGCGGCCCTCGCGAACGAGACCAACGAGGAAGACTTTTCTTTACCGACCTTGTCATCTAAATGTGTTGGGGGCGGCGCAAGGGCGTTTACAGTTGATGGAAAGGTGGTGTTCGTGCCACAGGCTCAGTCGTATTATCACAGAGGCGAGCATTTTGCAGAGTTTTCGCCGGCCGAATTTGAATACATTGTAGATGTTTTACCGGGAAAGCCAAGTGTTGCTGGTCAAGCCCCGAGTCGTGGTCGCCCTGCTGGTGTGGGGTTTCCGTTTTCGCCTTTGCACCCCCTTTTCCAATCGCACCGTGGTTATATCCGAGCAAAAATGCTCACACCTGTTCTTGGGGGGGGGGGGGGGCTCCGACGTGGACGAATATCGTCGCCGGCGACAACGGCGAGGTAAAGCGCGACACTCTAGCAAGGTACCTGTTATGTGCATTTACTCCGTGGGCGTCGGATGGGCCCACCTGGTCTTATGATGCTTCCGGCCTGCTTCAGTTGTGTGATGCTTGGGATCGTTTCGATGCTCCGCTCCTAAACAAACAGCGTTGCCGGCACATTCGGAACGTGATGAAGAAATGGTAACGGAATAGTAGGAACGAGCGAATTGCAACGGATTGGAGGAACCGCGGCGTGGATTACTGGAAGAAGCCTAGAGCTGAGCCGAGTTTACCGCCTCGCGGGCATAGTGGCGGAGGTGACGCTGAGTTTGAGGGAATGCTTCCAACGGAAACCGATACTTATGAATTGTTAGTTCGGGCCGCGACCGGGTCTTCGAGGCGGCGTGCTGACATCGCGGCAATCACGCACACGCTTTCGGCAGTTTTTGGCGGCGGAGGGGGGGGGGGGCGAGATTTCTCCAGCTGGAGAACCCCGCCCTGAAATGGCCGTTCCGGACTTTTTACCAGATTCAGCAACCGAAGACGAAGGCCAATCGATGGCACAGGTGGCGTCAAAGTTGCAAACCTACGAAGTTGATAGTTTTGATGATATTGATGGAGATTCCGATCGCGCCGTCGGGTGTTTTGGAGCCACTCGATGGGGTTACACTGATTGGGCCCTGCGAACTGTCGAACGAGCAGTATAAAATTCTGGTGAGGATATTATCGGGCATTGACGAAAACGGGCAGAAAAGGCAAACACTTACCCTTGCTCACGGCGGCGGGGGCTCAGGGAAATCTTTTGTCGTTCGCCGTTTGTGCGAAGAGGTTCGCTCACGCCGTTACCAGGTCGTTTCGACTACAGGTGCAGGAGCGTGTCAACTAACCGGAGGGATGACTTTTCACTCGGCGTTAAAATACAGCAGCAACAAAAAGAGACAACGGTTGTCGGCCCGCGCGGTTTCGTTTCTGCGGCATTTGTTCAATCCCGCCGTGGTGCTGGTTGTGGTCGATGAAGTGTCGATGTTTGAGGCGGCTCTCCTGGTAGTATTGGATCAGCGACTCCGAGATCTGTACAACCCTGACAAAGTCTTCGGCGGCAAATCCGTATTGCTGGTACGTATGAAGCAAGGGCGAGGACTTCATTACGGCGCATATCTATTGTGCCTTGCATGCTTTCTGTCTAAACAACGACGTAATTCGTTGTTTTAGCAAATCACGGTGATTAGCCCATCATCGAGTTAGGGGGCTAACTCTTCGAGTTAAGATAGAATAGCAGCTAAGACAACGAGTTAACGTTGGGTTATGCCTACTTTCGTTGAATGGCTGGAGTACCATCGTTCTGATTTCAGATATGACTTTCTGTAGTGGGGCGATGGTCTTCACGACCTGACCACGCACTGGGCTGTCGATCGAGGATGATCAGAGCCAAGCTGGCGTAGGATAAGACCACGAGGTGGTTAAATTAGAGCAGGTATCGTAGTAGAGCTTGTAGGCGTATCTGAGGTCTATCTAACCTCCTCACTCTAGAACTTGAGAACAACCAAACAAGCAAGGAGTTCAAAGGAAGCGCCAGCTTCCCTCGTGACTGTGTTCATTCGAAACCCACTACAAAGTTAACTTTAGTGTCGAAGGAATCGACATGGACAACACAACTACGTCGACGAATTCTACCACCGCTGCGGCTGACAATGTGGCTCCGCCAGCGGCTAGCTCAGGAAGGATGCTACGACCGAGGAAGACGGTTGTGGCCCCCACGGCACGAGCAGGCCAAGCCAAGTCGAACAGAGGCAAGGGCAAGAAACCTGCTCGGAAAGCAAGAGTGAGCGAACCTAGTGAACCCAATACCGACTCCACCCCCATTGGGCTAGGAGGAGGTTTGGCCTTTCGGTCCGCAAACCAGGACATCGAGATCCCAACTGTGGCGCATCCCATTTTCGCTGTTTCAGCAGCGCCCAAGGTGGAGGACATCTCGCATGAGGCGCTCACCCGCTGGGTTGACCTCCGACTGGAGTACGAGGAGATCATGCGGGCACGCTGTGAGTCGTCTGGTGAAGATTTGAAGTCTGTGATGAGATCGGTGCGGAACTCTTTCGATGACAGTTTCTTGGAGACGCTGTGCGAGACCAAGTGGGAAAAGAAGAAAGAGAACCTGACAAATGAATTCATTTGGGAGTGGATAATGAAAACGGTGCAGAGCTTCAAGAACAACGCTCTTCTGAACATTGATCAGCTCTTCCAAGGGCAACTTGTGATGTCGAACTTGAAGACCGATGTTGACGCCCGAGTGATGGACTACTTTCATCTGTGCAACACGATCGTAAAAAACAGTGGTTTGACTGCGCTTTTCTCGGACGAGGAAGGTATCAAGAAGAAGTGTAAGATCCTGTTGAATTGCCTGCCCAGTGAACTGAAGGTGATGGTGAAAAATGAAATCGATTTTCGCCTACCTCTGGCCAAGTCGAACGTCTCCGTGCTCTTCAAGATCGTGAGCGATAAAGCTTTGGAGGTTGATCGAGAAGACTTGGCGTTGAAACGAAACAAGAGAAGACCTTCTGATGCAGAGTCGTCTCGACCGGCGTCGGCCCGACCTGTAAAGAAGGCTCGGATGGTGTCAGACGCCAGGGCAACGCAGGGAAACTACACTAAACCAGCGTCTCGGCCGATATTTCAGGAGGGTTTCGAGCAGAGTACGACAAGATCGAAATGGGGTTGTTGGGCCTGTGGCGGCAAGCACAAACGGGCCGACTGCCCCAACAAGAACGAAGGCAACTCCATGGCGGGGCGCAAGCCGAAACCTGGGGGGCACCGTAATGCTCAAGCGAATTAGGGAGTGCCTACCCAGTGGGGCTGGGAAACCCCGTGTTTTGCGTGCCAATGGCGTTGTTGATGTGGAGTATTGTCCAGACTCTGGTGCTGATACATCGATTATCAGTTCGAAGACCCTACAAAAAATTGGTGAGCATGCTGTGCAGTGTGAAGTGATGAAATTGCAAAATCCCGTCGAGTGCAAATTACCTGGAGGAAAGAAGACATGGGCACATCAAATGACGAAACTGCGCTTGTCGCTCATGACAGCCGCAGGCCCGGTGAGTATCAACAAGCCGGTGACGTGTTTAATCCTCGAGAATGATGATGAAGAGTTTTTGCTTGGGAACGACGTGTTGAAGATGCTTGGTATTGATGTTGGGAGACAATTGGAGCTTCTGGCAGCGCCAAGTAGAGATGATGGAGAGGATGACGATGAGGAACCTGATGTGGCGAATGGCAGCAATACGGATGATGATATTCGTAAAGCTGTCGAGTTGATGATTGAACGAGCAGTGCAGGAAGGATTTCCCGTGAGCAAAGTTGAACGCCTGCGTACCAACGTCTATGCTTACGACGTTTGGAGGCTGGTACTCAGTGACGACCCTCCTGCGGACGTAGAACCCATGCGCGGGCACATGAAAGCAGGCTGCAGGCCGTTCAGCTAAAGCACGGAAGTACGCACCAGAGTATCAAGCGTTTCTGGAGTCGTTCAACGACATGCTTGTCAAACTTGGATGGGTATATGAAAACCCAACGAGTCGTTGGGCTTGTGCCGCATTGCCTTTGCGCAAACGTGGAGGTGGTGAGTTCCGGCAGACTGTGGATTACAAACCAATGAACGCGCAAACGGAGCCCATGGCAGGAGTGATGCCCAACCTGCATGTAGACTTGGAAAATGTACGGGGCAGCAGACACTTTGGCCTTTTCGATTTCATAAAAGGTTATTGGCAGCTACCTTTGGCCAAGGAGTGTCAAGAGCTCCTATCGAACATGACGCACAGGAAGATCTACACTCCACGACGCGTACCTCAAGGCAGCGCAGATGCAGCACTGTACTTCCAGTCCACCATGGAGCGTTGCTACGCCGCACTGTTGTACAAGCATTTATTAGTCTGGATTGACGATCTCTTGCTGTACGCCCCCGATGTTGACACCTACCTGGACAAACTGCAGGAGCTGCTTGAGCTCACGGCAAAGTTCGGTTTTAAGCTGAGTGCCGCCAAGTCCTGCCTCTACAAGCAAGAAGTAAAATGGTGTGGTAAGATAATCAATGGGGAAGGAGTGAAACATGACCCAGAGCGAATTACTGCTTTGCGGAGTATGCCGTATCCAACGAATGCAGGCGAGCTACAACAATTCCTGTGTTCTACGAACTGGATGCTCGACAGTATCATTGACTATGCACGACTCGCTCGCCCTTTGCAAGATGCACTAGATCAAGCGATGACTAAAGCCTCGAGACGTACTAAGCGTGCAGCTTCGGGCATCCCAGTCGCACGTACCTCGTCAGAGCGCGAAGCGTACGACGTGATGAAGCGAGCTCTTGCTGAGTCAGCTAGCCTCGCGTTCCCGAAGCCGGACGCGGAAATGATTCTCCTGACTGATGCCTCGGATGTGGGCTGGTCTGTAATCGTCTCGCAAGTGCCTGAGTGGAAACAAGGTGCTGAGATTCAGGACCAGCAGCACGAACTATTGATTTGTCTCGGTGGTACGTTCACTGGTGCTCAGAGAAACTGGAGTATCATCGAAAAGGAGTCATACCCAATCATCATGGCATGTGATAAGCTGAGTTACCTGTTGCTGCGTCCTGGTGGCTTTCGCATGTACTGCGACCGCCGCAACCTGATACATGTATTCGCACCTGGCAAAGAAGTTAAAAAGCACGTACGCGGGAAACTTCTGAGGTGGGCCATGAAACTAATGGAATACCGCTACAGTATCGAGCATATCGACGGAACCAGCAACGTTTGGGCCGACATGGTTTCTCGGTGGGCCTGGGCGAGTGGAATGCCAAATGTGGCGGTGAAGCGTGTGACGTTGAGACGGCAGCGTGAAGACAACGAGCCTAAAGACCAAAAAAGACGCCGCCAACGTATTCGACCATTTAGTGACGGTACTTTCGTGTGGTTTACGGTGCAAGAACTGCAGGAGGCTCAACAGCGGCACATTGTGAGCCTGCCTAAACGTTTGAAGCGTGGTGATAACGGACTTCTGTGCAGGGATGGCTGCATTTGGATCCCAGACAATGAGCCTGCCCTACTGCAGCGGCTACTTGTGGTCGCTCACTGTGGCGTGCAGGGCCACAGAGGTCGCGAAGCCTTAATGGCTGTCATGAATCGACGATTTTACGTACGGAATCTCTCAGCCATGGTCAAAACCTTTCTTGCTGACTGTTTGATGTGTCAGCATGTAAAGGGGGGGGGAGATTGTAACCAGACCATGGGCTGACACCTTCCGTTGTAAGGATCGAAATGGAGCACTGCACTGGGATTATTTGCATCTAGGAGAATCCTACGGTACCTACAAGTATCTATTGGTACTTAAGGACGATGCGACTCATTTTTGTGAGTTGGTACCATGTGCAACACCGAGTGCAGTAGTGACTGCTGAGGCCATTCTCGATTGGCACAGTAGATTGGAGCCCCCCAAGTGTGGATTAGTGACCAAGGGAGTCACTTTAAGAATCAAGTGGCGATTGAAGTGGCGAAGCGACTTGGTTGCCAGCAACGGTTCACCGTGGCTTACAGCCCGTGGACTAATGGAACTATAGAGAGATTGAACCGAGATATTATTCAAGTTTTGCGTGTGCTTTGTCTCGAAAGCAAAGTGGATATTCGAGATTGGCCATATTTTATCTCGGCGGTGCAGTCAAATTTGAATCACACACCGGTACCTTTCCTTACGAAACAAGGCTCCCGTGGAATTGTTTTGTGTTCTACCTGCAGTCTCTCCTCTAGATTTCACTTTTGAGAAAGACACTGAGACTTTTGTCGAGATTGGCATCAACTCAGAGCAGATTCAGAAGAACCTTGACAAACTACGAGTGTGTGTGCAGGAAATGCACAGGAAAGTGGAGATAGCAAGGTCGGATCAAACCAGGCGTAATCAGGCGATGCAAAAAGGGGCAAGGAAACCAAATTTCAATGTTGGAGATTACGTTTTGAGATCTCGTGTAGACCAGAAACACAACGACAAGCTTTTAGTCACGTGGATAGGCCCGTACCAAGTGGTTGGTTCAGACGAACAATCTTTCCGTGTCCAGCATTTAGTGACTGGTGCGGAGGCAGACGTGCACTCTTCGCGTCTCAAGTTCTATGCGGATGAATCGTTTGAGGTGACAGAGGAAATACGGGAGCACGTGGCTGCTCAGGGTATTGTCCTTACTGTTGCGGAGCTCAAGGATCACCGATGGAACTCGGCCAAGAGATGTTTCGAGGTTCTGGTAGGGTGGAAAGGTCTGGAACCAATTGAGGACTCTTGGGAGTCTCTCAGTTCTTTGTACAAGGACATTCCCGTGATGGTGAAGCAGTATGCTTCGGGTAAGAGCGACTTGGAGTTTGTTTCAGCAGTCGAGCAACTTTAAAACTTCAAGTTGAAGTGCTAAAGTTGCCACTGGTAAGGTGTACCGAAATTCGGGTACATGGATACATTCAAGCAACATTCCTGTGAAGCCAACATTTGATCACCACTTTCAACGGCGTGGTCAAGTGTTGGTGGGGCGGTGTAGTGGGACGATGGTCTTCACGACCTGACCACGCACTGGGCTGTCGATCGAGGATGATCAGAGCCAAGCTGGCGTAGGATAAGACCACGAGGTGGTTAAATTAGAGCAGGTATCGTAGTAGAGCTTGTAGGCGTATCTGAGGTCTATCTAACCTCCTCACTCTAGAACTTGAGAACAACCAAACAAGCAAGGAGTTCATAGGAAGCGCCAGCTTCCTTTGTGACTGTGTTCATTCGAAACCCACTACACTTTCTTGGAATGTCAGATTTACTGTTGACAGCGATAGGTTTGTCAAAGACATTAGTATATGAGATATTAGGATGCCCATCACTGAGACTCTCCAACTCGTATCCAAGAGCGATATTGATCTTGAACGCCATCAACTGAGAGCTGAGAATGGTCTCTAGTTTATCATAAAACTCTGTTGGATTAATATTCTCATATAGATGAGCCTCCGTCAGTTTACCTTGATAAAAGCGATAGTAAGAATCCCCTTGTAATTAGGGGACATGTGAGTATTTAATTTTTTAATAGAGATTTTGTACTGCTTAGCAATCAATTCTCTGTTTTTCGGCTTACTAACATCGCTGATATAAACCATTCTATTGCTGCGACCAAGCACCTTAACGCGGAAATTGCTCCCCCATTTGGTACACGGAACTCCAACTCGCTTAAGACCTTCTAGTTCGTATCCAAACATATCCGTTGTATATCCGCTCTACTATATTTTATAATATATTTATCTCTCAAGATCAGTATTTTTATTGGGGTATAGCCCCCCTTATAATGAAATGTGCATTAAGACTTTTTACCCTTTTTACAGGTACTTTTTACTCCAATTTATGAACCCCTGTATTACAATTGAGAATGGGGTAGGGCAAATGAACTATCATAGCCTGCCCGGGGGCGATTTGGATCGAATTTTACCTCGTTACGAACTCATGTTGAACGGCGCCCAAACGCGACCCTTCCAATATTACCTTGTTCGAAGGTATAACAAGTTCTTTAACTGAGATCAACCTTTTATCGAACCGGTGATCGCCCCGTTTGTATCAGCAAACAAACGATTGCGTTAATCGTTGAAGTTTAAGGTAAGAGTTGACGACCGACGATTCATGCACATGAACCGTGGAACCCTTTTCAAGGGGTGGCTGAACTCCGGTTATATGTGGTAACGGAGGCAAATGACAGTGGAGCCCGCCGTAAAAAACATATGAGAGGTCAGGCAGCTCCGTAAAAAGTCTCCGCTGACGTACGAAACAATGTACTGAAGAGTCGTTTGGATTAAGTTATTCATAGCTAACCTAATTCAAGGTATCGGTCAGTACACTGATTGATCCTTGGCAAAACTGGCATGGAGCAGTGAAGTCTAAATCCAAAGGCTATACTATGCTACCGCTAACAATTACGAACCACTCATGCGGAAGCAAGAAGGCAGCACTAGAATTAGTTGGCATATTAGTTGCTGCAATCGTTGACTGAAGAAATCTATAAATCGCTTGCTACACACAGTTCTGCAGCAGCGGGGGCAACCAAGTACGAAGATGGTGACTAGGCCAGACGTGCCATATAGTGGAGACAACAGCCAGGATGTGTGCTCAGTAGCTGTGAAGAAAACGTGGAGAATTCTCTTTTTGCCCTGACATTTGGTATATTATTCTGACAGCCTTGATAAATAGGCATTTGCGCAGGAAGTAAGACGTCGTTGCTCTTCAAGATCGCATGCTATATCCTGAGCAAGTTAAAGTAGCAATTGCAATTCTGACACCAACTTTTGGTCTTGAATGTCCACACAAACGCCAAATGTATAGCTAACACTAGCGGTTGTTAAATTGTGTTACTGTATAGTGAATCTGGCGAACATGATGTGGAGTGAGACGTGTAGTCGTTCATCTTGAAGCTCTTTTAAATCACTTACAGTGAGTTCGTGTTATTGTGAAAAGCACTTACGTGTTGGGGTTGGGGGGCACACTGCTGGTCTCGCTGTTTCAATGAGCTTTAAATTAATGTAATGTAAGAGCAAATGTGCATACCGGTGGTTGTTGAATGTAATGTGACAGAATTTTTCGCCATGAGTTACAATTTTACTGATATATTGGCTTGCTGAATGCTCGAGCACGATTTAGCCTGGTATTGTGGGGATATTTAACGATGTCCACCCGGAAATTTGTTGCAATCGATTCAGCGGCCAACGGTGGCAACGCCAAAGCCACTTATCATGATTCTAAAGTGTTTATTTACTACTGTAGCATGGAAACCAGGACTAAGCAAAACATTATACATTGTTTTACGGTTGAAAGAGGTCGAAAGCTACGACGGCACTACCAGATGCGGCACGAGATCCCTTGCGGTTACGTCAAGCCTCTTTCCTGTCTTCATTTATGGCGGCGACGGATGACTCGGACATGCAAGTTCTAGTTGATCAGCATGTGTGCAACGTCGGGAACACGCACGCTGTCTACCAGTGCTCGCTGCGCTCGCTCCTGGCATCGGTCCCCAAGCTGCCTATACCGTTTTCCATATTAAACTCCAAGCCCGGTCATTTTAATAAAATCTGCAGGCACTTCGTGCATATATTTTTGAAACCAATTTGGTAAAAGTATGAGTGTGTATAGGATACTTGGGGGCGGTGCTGAGAAGCTAAGATACAATATTTTCCGAAGCAATGCCCCTCTAGTAACCGGGGCGAAAATTCGCCGTGACGATGCTGCTATACTAGTATTAAGACAGATACAAAACATAAATTAATTATTAATTAATTTACCTCTTCCTTATTATTTTTCACTATCTACTCCACTTGAGACCTCAATTCTCGATGCAAGTTTAGATTTTAATTTCTATTCTGGTTTCTGATTTTTCTTTTCTCTGCTAGCTCAACCTTCTGCAATTCATTATACTCCTTTTGCTTAGCTAGACGTTGTTCTCGATTCTTTTGAAAGTACCTCCTTGAAGCAGACCGGTCAGCGACATGAGAGTATTCAGATGCCACATCTCGAATGCTTTTTGCTGAGTCTCAGTAATTCTCTTAGGAATGGGAATAATATCCTCACATCGCAGTAGATGATTTGTTCACATAACTCGCAACCACCGACTAACCACTCGCCATCGCATTGGTGGATCTCTCCATCTGCGATAGCTTCGTAGTATGCTGCTTGGTCACCGTTATAGCGATCAGCAATCATTGCTTGAGCGATAGTACTAGTATTGCACATTGTTATTGTTGGTTGGTTGGTTGATCGTATGATATGTTGTTATTATACTTTAACATTTCTTCTCTCAAGATCAAAAATGAAAATTTTAAATTGGTATGATAATCTTGTAAGTTGAATTTCTGAAGGTAGGTACCTTGGCTAGTTAGTAAGTTGAAATTGTGAAGGTACCTACCTTAATGAGTTAGTGTATTGACTTTACCAGTTTTCAATTCCCCTCGGAGAGAACAGGTGGATTTGCGAGACATCACCCTTATGAGTTGCGAGGGAAGCCCACCACGGGAGGACCGCCCACCGGGGGCCTCCGCCCCTGCTGGGGCTGGAGGTCCCTCTACCAGCTCCCCAGCACCTGCGCTCGTTGCCGCCCAAGCTGCAACGTCACCAGCGGTACCTGGAGCACCGTTCATACCCAGCCATACCGGCGTGAACCAGACCGGAGGGACTGCCCAGCTCCGTGCTTCGCTGGCAACGAATGCAACGGGGACTGAGCGCCTCTCCCCAGAGCTTCAACACCTCTACCAACTCGCGACTGCAGCTTACCCCCTTCACGCTGACTCGGCGCTCCGAGCCATGACGGGGGAGGAAGTGGCCACTATGGACGCCTACGTTTCGCGACGTCTCGACCTGCCAGCCCCACCAACATTCCTGAGCTGCACTACTACGGGTCTGAAACGCGCTGCGTTGTTAGCCTTTCATCAGGAACATGTCGAGGCCTCCGTCATCGCGGACGTACCAGCAACAGTGGGGCTGGGACGGAACATTCCACGCCAATCGATCCTGCGTGAACTCGTGGCAGGCAATGCAGGAAATGAGCCGGGAAAGCTTCGCATGAAGCGGTTCATCAAGGCGGCTCAGCGTATCCTCTTTGACGGCGAGCACACTCTCAGGGTCATCTTCATGTCGCGCCGGGCCGCGATGGAATGGGATGGTCAAGAATTTCGCCTTCGAGGGTGCCTGCTGCGCTTTAACCTATTGGGAGTTCAAGTGCCTGGCGTGCGCCCACCTCCCGAATTGGCTCGGCACTATGCGCTTCGGGTCCTGGGCACTGAGGGACTGAACCCCATGATCTTGGTTCAAATATTCGGCGACATTGCCCAAGAGGCTATTCTGGACGTGCGTCATCCTGGTATGGATGGCCTCCGCCAGATGGACAACGACTACTGGGCGGTGATCTTCGCTTCGATGTCGTGCCCCGCTGCTCTACAAGGCGTGACTTCTATCAGCGCCGAGAATGGGTCGTTATTGCTGCGCCACTTCCAACGAATGCAGTCCCCTCCATGTCGACGCAGTCTCAGCCCCTACCACCTCCAACATCGCTGCAAGGTTTTGGACGCACGCCTGCTTAGCACCCGTGTCCCACGACAGCGGAGATATGTTGGCGCCATGCAGGACCCTCCGCCCGCGCTACCCGACTGTACGGACCTTGTGACATTGGAGGATCTGCTGAGCCGTATTGTCCTCGACCCTGCGATAGCGCTTCCCACCGATAGGTCCACCCCTGTGTTACAGGTGGTCCCCGTCCCGGTGGTGCAGGACGCGCCAGCACCTGTAGCTTCGGCCAGCTCATCGGATGCAACCGGTATGACTGTGGTTCGGAGACGCCGAGGTGCTCCGGCTCACCGATCTGCTCAATCTCAAGCCGACACCACCGGCGGCGGACAAGATTCCGTTCCGGAGGCATCAGCGACATCGGCAGGACAGACGATTGGGGCGGCTCTGCGTCGCACTCCCCCTCAGGGGATGGAGGATGCCACCGCTCGAGCTTCTGGGAAACGGACCCCAGCAGCATCCACTGCCAAGCCAAAGCCGACCGCGGCTGCGCTACGGTACCAGCAGACGCTGGCGGCTTATGCAGAGCTCGCTGGCGATTCTGATGACGAAGATGAGTCAGATGATCGACCCACCTCGGCTCAATCCGCACAAGTGGTGACCGGTAGGTCGTTGATGGCACGGCCAGAGGGGCAAGAGACCAAGTCTGAAGACTTCCGGCCTTCACCAACGGAACCGGCATCGGCGACTGTGGTGGGCGTAAACCAACAGGCTGCGACGGACATCCCCATGTCAACAGCGGATGCCAATGAGTCACAGGATGTCACCACGGAGGAACCTATGCCTGCCACTCGCTCCTCATTGCTGCAGTCACCTGCTGCTGGATTGGCTCAGACCGACCATGTAGGCGGTCCCAATGTCTTAACCGGCTTCCATAGCTCGTCTTCCGAAACTCAGCCATCGAAGGAACCTTACTGGCATTCAGCGTCGCCGGCTAGTCCCGCACCGATTGATACGGACGATATCGTAGCAGAAACCGCCTCAGACGAACCCAGCGACTGTGGTAGTGAGGAATTTGTCATGGAGAAGGTTGTGGCACCAGACAACCCATATCTGCTACGGTACCAAGACTGGATCGGCTCGCTCCATGGTGCGCCAGTAGGGGTACCGTGTAATGGGCAGTGCCTTTTCCTGGCATTTTATGCCTCGGTTCACAATGTCCAAGACTCGCGTTTGAAGCTGACCTCGGCTGTCATCACTGGACGGCTACCAAATATACATTAACGGGCTGTCATACCTGCAGCAGATATGACAGGGTTTAAAAAGATATATGTTGACATAGCGCTCAAAATCTCCACCGCAATTGTCGTACATGCGTCACTTGTGTCCGCTTGATATCGCCCTGAATCAGGCGGCTTGATAGACGCTTGCTGGGCTTTAAGAATGTACCCGTCATTTCGTTCCGGACACCGCCGACGCTGCATCCCTTCTAAATTTCACCAGTTTCGAATTTGGCGCGCGTCGGACACAAGCGCCGGAGCGATGGCCGCAGAGGACGTCGATGCGATGCTGGTGCTGGCTAGCGCCTAAGTCGAGCAGGAGGAGACGCTGCACGAGGTGCGCAGGGAGGTGTACGACAAGCTCGTGGAAGAGGCGTGGAGGATCGCCATGCGGACCAGGCACTACCTGACCACCCAGTGCCTGGACACGCCCTGCGACTCCGCGTGGATGATGTTGTACACGCGCGGAAGCGACATTGTGAGATCGGGAAATGACTGCGGCCGGGCGAGTTCTGGCCGAGGTCTAACTGCCTTGAGCTTGCGAGAGATGGCTGACCGAGGGCTGTGATTGGTCGGTCACATTCCCCGCGCGTTAGTGCCCAGAAGATTGATAGAGACTACGGAGTGACAGGAGGGTCTCGGCGGGTCAAAATAAACCGCCTGCCGAGGTCTCCGAAGTTTCATAGTGGGTACACTTTATGCCCAGTAGGAGTTCGGATTTAGGACGAAGCTTCGTCCGATTGTAGGATCAGCTCGAAAGCTCGGTCCACACTTGATATTTGTATAGACCTTAGGGATTAGCTATAGGAGAGGCCTGACAGCCTCTAAACCATTAAACAGAGCAGAATTTCCCCCCAAGCCACACAAGGGTCAAGTCCGTCTACGGTAAGTCGCTAAGCTTAGCGTAGGGTGTGGATACACTCGGCTGCACGGGGTATGTCTGCCGGTGAGCATAAGGTGCATTGACCGAGTGTTCATCCTGGTAAGGCCAAGAGTGAGTAGGTGGCCGAGTGTTGGGAGGTATTAGAGACCTCTGTGTACAGTTGTACGTTTGACTGGGTGTGAGGCAAGGACCCCCCAGTGTATTTGACTTCTAGCCGAGGCTTCGCCCCGGCGCCCCTGTAAGAGGCTTCGATTGGCCTGGTACCCTTCCTTTCTGAGGGACCACAGAGGTTTAGTGCGAAAGCACGTATTACACATTGCACCCTAGCCGTGGCTCGTGGCTAAGGGTGCTCTTATATTTTATCGAAGGGTAAACCTACCTGACCCGCAACACACAGGGAGGCACATTCCAGCCCGTATAAGGGATCGGACCTGGTCTTCAGGTTTATTATCCCGACAATCTATCGCCGACTCTTCGGAGACGGCGTGTGTTGTTGGTAGGGCTCGTCCTAGAGACTTCGGTTGATAGGGCGAGGACTCGTAAACTCGTGTTTTCCTACACGACAACTGGTGCCGCGACCCGGGACTGGTGTGACCGATTGTGCGTTGTGGTCTGTGTAGGTTTTGCCCAACGAGCATTGAGGAGAGAAGAAGAAGTGAAGAAGAGAAGAAGAAACAAGAACAAGAACAAGATGGCGAAAGGATCCAAGTCAGCGGTACCAGCTACGCCGGTGAAGTCGGTACGAGGATCGGCCGAAGGTTCGTCAACGATCGCGAGTGACTTAACGTCTCGGTTGTCGACGATCTCCGAAAGGTCGGTCAGTTTCGAAGAGTCGGTCGACGAAGATTCGGACGCCAAGGATGACATGATGATGGACTATGATGACCTGGAGGAGAAGACTCCAGTGACGACGCAGGAGTTCGGAGATGAAGAAGATGCGATGCTGTCCGGGGGACGTAGCGGAGGCTCGCGCTCCTTGTCCCGGAACCTCGTCGCAGAATTTGATGAAGTGGCGAAACCCGACCATGCGGATGACGACTTTGAGGATGGCACCGAGACCTCGGCTTCGAGGGCTCTGGTGCAGGTTACTAAGGGTCCTCAAGAATCCCGCGGAAGTCGGCCCGCTATGAACAGCAGCACTCCAGCTGCGAACAAGGTGCTCGGCAGAATGCTCGAGCAGATGGTGGAGTCGAGCGAGTAGATATGGCAGTTCAATCCCGAGATGACGCGTCAAGCGACTTGGGCTGAGCTGAAGGAGGAGTTGCAACACCACGTTGAGTCGACCTCGGTTACTCAGGTGGCCGAGGACACGGTGTCTCTCCTACGAGTGATGGGCTGCGAGCCAAGGAATCGTCCGTCCGAAGTCTCGATCAAGAGTTGGACGCCAGGTCTCGCCGGCAAGGAGCTACATAAGTGGAAGAGGAAGCTTCGCCTGAGCTTCGGGGAGTCGGACCTGACTCTGGGACGCCCCCCGAGTGCTCGCCCCGCGAGGGAGCAAGCTGATCCTTCGAAGATCCCACTGCCACAGACACCCAAGAAGTCCGCCGAGCGGTCAAACCAAAGCCAAGCGACGGACGGAGTGTTCTCCGCCAAGACCGAAGGTTCGCCGTACTTCCAAGACTCGCACATGGCGAGTCGAGCCGACCGTATTGCGCGTGAGTCCGAAGGTTCGCGACGCGAGCGGAGCACGCAACGAAGCTCCACGCGACGCTCAAGCCGCCGGTTTACACCGCGCGATGACTCCTCGTCCGACGAGGACAACAATGACAACATCGACTATGAAGATGGGTTTGACAGCCCGAGCGATGAGTTGGCCCGTCAAGTGCGCGAAGTGAGTGAGATGGAGCGTCTGAGTTCGACTCCTCGGCTTGAGATCGCCACACACCGGCCGCTTGCGCAGATCAAGAATTTCTCAGGAGCCCGCAATCGGAGTGAAAACTCTATGCAGTGGCTCCGAGCTTTCGTCTACAAGATGAAGGGAACGCACACACCGCCTAACGAGTGGTGCATGGCTTTCGAGCTGAGCCTTCGGGACGGTGCCCTTCACTGGTACCGTCAACTCCCGAAGAGGACTAATCGTCAGTGGAAGCGACTGAGTGATGCGTTTATCAAGTATTACTGCTCGCAGTTTAGCCAGTCTGCGAAGGCTCGCTACTACTCTGCGAAGCGCGAGTCCTCGGAACACCTTTGTGACTACCTCAACCGACTGAATGGTTACGCCCGTAATGCTGGCATACAGTTCAAGAGTGGTGGTCGCGATGCGAAGGACCATGTACAGCGGTTCCTCGAGACGTGCGGTGACCGAAGCCTCGAACGCCGGCTTTGCCACGTTCGGGTGAAGGACATTCACGAACTCGAGGACATGATCAACGACATCTTGAAGTCTGAAGAGCGTGGGCGAGACCAACCGCGTCGTCGTGATGACCGTCGCCACGAAGCTTCGCGTGACAGTTACCGTCGCGACCGCGACCGTGGATACGAACGTCGCCGCGAAGACTCGCGCCATGTTCCGCGCATTTCGCGGGCTGAAGCTTCGCTGTCAGACTTGGTCGCTGAACTGCAAGTCCGCGGTACCAAGGGTGGTAGAGCCGAGCGCTCGTCGCCACGCCGTACCCCGTACAGCGACAGCGAGAGTGACGCCAGTTATTATCATTACTCCGAGAGCGATCCGAGTGATGGTGGCTACAGTGACGTTAGCAGCTCTGGTGAGGGAGGAGCTCACGTCGCTGCTGCCAATGAGCGCGAGCGACGCCAAGCAGCTGAAGGAACGTACGCGCGCCCTGACCAACGTCAACGCAAGGGATGAACCCGGCCGAGGATTCGACCGGAGTAACCGCCACTCCGGCCGAGACAACCGTGATGGTCGTCCGCGTCAGTACGGACCGTGCGCAGCTTGTGGTGGAGCTGGGCATTCGGCTCACTACTGCTACCGCCGCTGCCGACTGTGCCAGCAGGTGCATGACATCGGCAAGTGCGAAGCACTTCAAGCCCTCACTTCGTTCATCAAAACGAAGGCCGAGAAGAAGGACCTCTCGCCAGAGCTCCAAAGCCTAGTCTTCGGTGGCAATTTAAACTAGGCAGCCCGCCTACTGAAACTGGGTTGGTCCCAATCGGGCTGCCACAGTTAGCTGAGCCCGCGATTGATGCAGACTGTGTCTACGCATTCGTGGGCGAAAGTAAACGGCCGAACGACAAGGACAAGGAATGTGTGAAAACGACGGAAAATGAAAAGGAGAGAGGGGCAACCCTCGGTGGAGGTGTAACAAGTGAAATGAATGATGATGAAGATGATGAAGATTACACCGAGGCTTGGGTCTCAAGCGCGGTGCAAGAAGGACACCCTGGCCGAACGCCCAGTGGGGTGACGAAGTTACTCCCAGGCGAGAGGCTGGGGTGGTGGTCCGCGCAGAAGTTCGACAAGAGAGCTCGGATGAGAGCTCTGGTCAAGGGCGCGGTAAATGACACGCGAACGAGGATTCTATTGGACACTGGCGCGAATGTTAGTGTGGTCTCCGAACGGTTCGCGAAGCAGTTGCGGTTGCGTGATATCCAAGGTCACTGCCGCTGTATGGAGGTTAAGGTTTTTACGAAAGGAACCATGACAACCGAGAGACGAACTCTCGTGAAAGTAACCCTCGGCTGGAGCAAAGTGTACGAATTCGAATTGTGGATTATGGATCATGGTGCTGGTGTGGATGTAGTCCTCGGCACCGACTTCATGATTCCTGCACGAGTGCGCTTGGACTTGTTCCACGCGACCGCGAGGTTGCCGGACGAGGTGAGTATTCCACTCATTAAGACGCTGAACATGCTGAATGATCAAGGTGAAGGCCCGCACGTCAACGGTGGTCCGTCCGAGGACCTAACCATTGAGAGCCGAGAGTTCGCAGAGTACAGAGTACCGAGGCGTCAACCACCTCTGGATACACACGAGGTGTGGGTACGTCGCACGAAGTCTCTGTTGCCTACGGTAACGAAGTTTCGGCGAGGCAAGGTCGAGAGAGTGCGGTTGACGAACGTGTCGAAACGTTTTACGGTTTGCCGTGCTCACTCACCTATGCTAATGTGGGTACCGATCGGAGATCTCCCGAAGTCTGAAGGTTATGTTCGACTCAGTTCGGAACGATACGAGGACTGGCAGAAGTTGGCGTATGACGGAAGTCGGGATGAAACGGTGTTCAAGCGTGAGTGTGATACGTATGCGGATTGGTTGGCCTCTCAGCCTTCGGCTGTGGTATGCAGTGCCGGCCGGAGTGTTACCCCGGCTACCCGAAGCCTCCCAGACGCACGGCCGCCAGCTGAGTTGTGCCGAGCAGTGGGAACGTGAAATCGCTAAGCGTGTGGAGCAGGAGCAACTCGCCACCGACGGCTCACCAGTGGGTGATGATCCGGTGGCGCTCCCTCCCGTGCACGTGAAAGCCGATGACACTAGTACCGAAGGTTCAATCGAGTCTGAGAGTGAAGGAACTTCGGATGCCAGCACCGATGACTGTGAGATCGGGAAATGACTGCGGCCGGGCGAGTTCCGGCCGAGGTCTAACTGCCTTGAGCTTGCGAGAGATGGCTGACCGAGGGCTCTGATTGGTCGGTCACATTCCCCGCGCGTTAGTGCCCAGAAGATTGATAGAGACTACGGAGTGACAGGAGGGTCTCGGCGGGTCAAAATAAACCGCCTGCCGAGGTCTCCGAAGTTTCATAGTGGGTACACTTTATGCCCAGTAGGAGTTCGGATTTAGGACGAAGCTTCGTCCGATTGTAGGATCAGCTCGAAAGCTCGGTCCACACTTGATATTTGTATAGACCTTAGGGATTAGCTATAGGAGAGGCCTGAAAGCCTCTAAACCATTAAACAGAGCAGAATTTCCCCCCAAGCCACACAAGGGTCAAGTCCGTCTACGGTAAGTCGCTAAGCTTAGCGTAGGGTGTGGATACACTCGGCTGCACGGGGTATGTCTGCCGGTGAGCATAAGGTGCATTGACCGAGTGTTCATCCTGGTAAGGCCAAGAGTGAGTAGGTGGCCGAGTGTTGGGAGGTATTAGAGACCTCTGTGTACAGTTGTACGTTTGACTGGGTGTGAGGCAAGGACCCCCCAGTGTATTTGACTTCTAGCCGAGGCTTCGCCCCGGCGCCCCTGTAAGAGGCTTCGATTGGCCTGGTACCCTTCCTTTCTGAGGGACCACAGAGGTTTAGTGCGAAAGCACGTATTACACATTGCACCCTAGCCGTGGCTCGTGGCTAAGGGTGCTCTTATATTTTATCGAAGGGTAAACCTACCTGACCCGCAACACACAGGGAGGCACATTCCAGCCCGTATAAGGGATCGGACCTGGTCTTCAGGTTTATTATCCCGACAATCTATCGCCGACTCTTCGGAGACGGCGTGTGTTGTTGGTAGGGCTCGTCCTAGAGACTTCGGTTGATAGGGCGAGGACTCGTAAACTCGTGTTTTCCTACACGACATGACGACGCCTCGGACCTAGGGGTGATAGCGAGCCAAGTGCCAGCCGAACCCTCTGACGTAACGGAAGACCGTTCAGACTGGGGTGACAGTGAACAGTCCCCGGGGTCCGAAGACTCAGTCCAAGATGAAGACTCGGTAGCAGTGCTGACACGCAATTATCTGTCGGCCGCCGCCGTTGTCGACGTTGAGGATGGAGAAGCTGACGTCGAAGCTGGCAATGCCCGAGCCGAACACTTGCCCAATGAGATCAACTTGGAAGATTACGCTCATGAACTAGCTTTCCTGCCCGACCTTACAGAAGCCTCGGTCACGGAACTGGACTACTCGGCTGAGAATGTCCGGCACCCGGAACGGAGTAGTGGACGGCAGGATCGCTTAGTGAAGGTTCTGAAGAAACATGAGAAGATCATGAACTCTAGTGGGAATGCTCTACCACCGCCTGCGTACGGTGTAGTGTGCGACATCGATGTACAGGGCCATGCGCCTATCAAGCAACGAGCACGGAGGATTCCCCTCCGACACCTCAAGAAGCTCTACGAGCTTTTGCGAGGTTTGCTCAAGGCCGGTCTGATCGCGTTCTCCAACAGCCCATGGTCGTCACCGATCGTGATTGTGCTGAAGAAGAATGGCGTAGATATCAGCCTATGCATTGATTACAAGATGGTGAACGCAGTCACCGCTATCATGGAGTATACAATGCCCCTTGTGGATGATCTGCTCACAGACCTGGAGAAGTATCTGTGGTACTGCTCGCTTGATGCGGCGAGTGGGTTCTGGGTAATCATGATGACACAGAGGGCTCGTCAGATCTCTGCTTTTGTGTGTGCACTGGGTCATTTCGAGTGGCTCAGAACGCCCTTTGGGCTTAAAAATGCACCTATGACCTACCAACGAATGCTCGACAACGCTCTGTGGGGGTTTGTTCAGCCGAAGGGTGGCTGGAAGCATTATGCGCGTCTGATGGCAGAAGCTGAAGCACGCGACCGTGAACTCGCCGACGCCTCGACCGAACAGTCACATGAAGAGTCGTCCGACCTGGACCAGTCGCCTACGAAGTTTGAAGCGGACTTGGAATCGGATCGAGTGAAAGCTCGGTCTCGGAACTAATCAACAGTCCTATTGCGGACATGTTTGCGAATAGAGAGCCCGACGAGTCTTCGTTGGTGCCGGTTTTCGAACGGCGTTCGTTCGTTGACGATATTTGCTTTGGCGGCGAGTCTTTCGATGCATGTCTAGCGACGCTCGATGGACTCCTCGCCCGGTTCGAGGAATGTCGGATCAGCGTGAGTTTCACCAAGAGCATTTTCGTGCAGCCCAAGGTGGACTTCCTGTCTCACGAAGTGTCCCGGAGTGGTATTAGAGCGGACCCAAAGAAGTTGAAGGCTATCACCGAGCTGTCCTTCCCAACGTCCAAGAAGGGAGTGCAAGCTTTCCTTGGCGCTCTGAACTACTACAGCCGCTTCATACAGGACTTTGCTGTCTACGGTGCCGCGCTATACCAGCTGCGAGACGAAGACTTCGCACCAGGGGGTGACCTCTCTGCAGCCAAGCGAAGCTTCGCGGCATTGCAACGAAAGGTCGGTGAGGCACCTGTCCTCCGACACTTCGACCGTGACCAAGAGGTCCATGTGACGCTGTTTGCAAATGAATGGGCAGTGAGCACCACGCTCATGCAGGAGCACGAGGCCTGATGGCTCAAGGACGCCGAGATGAACTACCACCCGGCGGAAAAGGAGGAACTGGCTTTGCTACAGCTGTTGAAGGTGTGTTACACCCAGCTGGCCGGTCGGACCATACATGTCTACACGCGGTTTTCGACGCTCGACTGGGTCCATAAGTCGAAGACACTCTTCGGACGTGCAACGCAATTTGCCGTCTTACTGTCTCCGTGGAGTCTAGTTGTGCAACGAGTCAAGGAAAAGGATTGCGCCTTCGTGCAGCTCTTACAGTCGACGATCACAAGCTTCGTTGACCTCGAAGCCTCGTTGGCACCAGTGACCCCTCGAGCCAAAGGCTCGCCGAGTGTTCGGATGGATCCGCATTTGCTTTATGCACGGTTGCCGCGTACATACAGTGGCTACGTACTTTCGTTTGATGGCTCGGTGAAGACCGAGAAGCATGGTGGCTATGGCAGTTGCGCCTGGATACTATGGCGACTTCCTGAATGGAGTGTAGCGATCGCTGCGAGTGCGTATCTCGGGACCACGACTGTAAACCTCGCTGAGTACACCGGAATGAACAACGGGGTCTCTGCCGCCCTAGAACATGGGGCCGAGGACTTAGTCATTGTCGGGAACTCGAGACTCGCAATCCAGCAATCCCTAGGGGTGATCGCTTGCCGTAA